ACTATACGGTAATGATAAACTTTTAATAGTTTATCTCTTTAAAAAATATAATTAAAAGTTAACGTCTTGATAAAATTACATTTAACTTCTAAAACATTTATAATTTAATTATGGCCCCCAAGAAAAATTCTAGCTTTGCCCCTAAAAAGAAAACATTTTACTTGTTAGCTTTAATGTTTTAGGGTATATATATTGCTTTTTATTTAAAAATCTGGGTCTCTCGGTTTCTTTTTAATTTTACTATTATTTTTTTTGGATAAATGCTTTATATTATTGAAAGAAGCAGTAAACCTGCTACAGATACACACAATAAACAACAGAAAAATTTTGTTACAAGATATAAACAGCAAACAGCATTAAAGGCCTCAACAAGGGATACCCCAATCACTACAAAGGCTGCAATTAACATTATCCACCATGAATATGTTCCTACCCTACAATTTAAACTAAACTACCTATTTGACAGATGAAAGAATGACAGCAGTTCCTCTAACCTTCCCACAAAACAACATGCAGTTTCTTTCCTCCCATATGAGATGGATGTGGGCATTCCAAGCAAGTTTGAGAATGATGGTGAGCAATGATTTACCCATGAGGTTGGCAACAGAAGACTCCACCTCCCCCTCCCCCTCCAACATCTGACATGCTTAGTCAAGCCACACAGCCACTAGATAGTCCTTCAGTTGTCCTTAGCAAAAGGACACTCAAAAAACAAATGATCAATGGACTCCATAGCATCATTACAAATAAAACATCCGCCATCAACATGCATGCCCCAACGCAATGATCTATCAAAAGTGGATCTATGGTGGGTCAATCCACCTTCTGTCCTCTGCTGCCTGCCTCGCCGTCTTTTTCGGTGCCTCCTCTACCCAGTATGTGTCGCTTTCTACAACAGATTTGTCTATGTCCAACAAATGGGATGCCTTATTTCCTTCTCTTTGCATGAATCTGTACTCACACAAGTTGAAACCCTTTGCTAGCTGATGGGCTTCCCAAATGAGCGCACTTATTTGAAAATAATTGGGTTTGGATGTGGATAGCTTCTTCATTACCGATCTTGAATCCCCTTCCAGAATCACTCTTCTGAAGCCTAAATCGAGTGCTAGTTGGAGCGCATGTCCTGCTGCGGTGCCCTCTGCTGCAAATGTTGATGGTACTCTCAAGGTATGTTTCTTGCATGCCCATAATTCGAATCCATTCTTATTCCGTATAATCACGCTTGACAATGCTTCCTGTTTTTCTCGAATGAAACTTGAGTCGAAATTGACCTTTGCTATACCTTTTGGTGGCGGGCTCCATCTCACAACACTTGCTCGTACAGGTTCATGGATTTTATTGTTGGCTATGATAAATTATTGGCAATGACTTTGAATATGATGGTTTCTTCTGCTCGAAAGGTCTTCCCTTCATTCACTCTTTTGTTTCGTGCATACCATAAGGCTCGTATGGCTACTAATGTTTCACTGTATTTTGTAGGTGGGACATTGGCAAACAACCAACTAAGCCATTCTTTAAAATTTCAGTTCAAACTCTACAGTGGCCACTGGTAAACTAACTTTTGCCAGACTGTCAATGCTAGCGTGCGGTTCTTGATAATGTGTAGTCCTGTTTCAACTTGATTCTGAGACAAATTGCAATATGGTTCATCTGTAACATGTTTGTGAAATAGCATCTGTTTTGTTGGGGCATAGTCATTGCATAATTTCCATACCTTAAATTTTATCTTTCTTGGGCATCCTGTGGGCCACAACTTCTTGTACATGTTTGTATATGGATCCTGAATATCGTCATTTTGCGTGAGTAATTTATATCCACTACGAACGGAGTATTCACCTGAATGTTCTCTACCCCAGACTTGTATGTCGTTTTGTTCAAATCTCGAGATTGGGATGGATTTAATCAATTCAGCTTCTTCAATTATGAACACTTCATTTATGGTCTCCACTCGCCATTCCTTGGTGTTGTTAATTAGCTCAACTACTCTCTGGATTTCATCTCTTCTTAGTGAACCAATGAGTTTTGGTTTATCTCCTAGTAACCAGTAATCACTCCAGATTGAAATATTCATTCCATTGCCCACTTTCCATCTTAATCCTTTTTCCAGTAAACCTCTTGCACTCCATATGCTACGCCATATATAGGATGGTACATTTGACATATTTAAACCTTACTTATTTTGAAGAATTTTTTAATAGTTTCACTCAACCTTCTAATTTTAAATATAAATTTATCCTCACTACTTTTATAGTGCAAAAGTGAAACCAAACATCAAATGCAAATGATTGTTTAAAAAATACAAATCTCGCCATAGAACCGCAATAGAAAGTCACGAGTGCTATCCAATTGATTTAACATCGGCACCATCAAACATATTGATGATATTTTGAACTATTTCATGCATACAATGATCTAAATTTTCAAGTCATATTAGAGTTTTGACTCGAGTTATGTCCTATAAGGATTGATTGATTAGTATGAATAAATTAAGCTAATATGTAAGATTTGGGATCAATTGGATGAGAATCGAACTCAATTAATTTTAAAAGGAAATTTTGTATTTGAGATTAAAGAAAAGGGACTAAAAATGTAATTTTAGTCCTAAGGGTATTTGAAACAGGGTCTAGTGGAAAGTTCATATGCATCTATCAAGTGTTTTTAAAAAGTAAGATCGGTTCTTGAATAAAAAGATATTAATATCTTTTAATTAATAGTACAATGGATTTACCGACTTCTTACAAATTAGTGAATTGAGGCAAAACTAATGAAAAATGGTAGAACAATGGGGGCAGAGGATTCCTGTTCAGTTAATTTACCCTTGTTGATATACATACATATACGAGAAAATAAGATTAGAAAAAAAAAGACTGCTACAATATTTAATATATTATTTAAGAATGAGCGTTTGATCTAATCGAATTAAATTAAATCGATTTTTGTTTTTCCTTGTTATTGATTCCATGCGTTTTTTTCAAAAAATCACCGATGACCTGTATATTTATCGATCTAATACCGATTGATCATATTTTTTTATCTAACACCCTTAACAGGAAGGTGCGCCCCCACATCACGCTTTACGCCACGTGGTAGAAGGCGTGCTCGTAAAACGCCTTACCAGATATGTAAAAAATTCAAGTGTTAATTTTATAAATATTTTTAAACGAATGTTAAATATATCATTAATTTATATTATGATGACATTTGTGTAAAAATATCATCATTTTGAATTGTGCATACACCTGGCTTCGTGTTCCCCGGTTTTCTGGCTTTTTGGGATCGCACTTCATCTGTTTCCTCCAGTAAGATAAATCATTTGTTTTTTATCTAGCTACTCCATTCCTTTGACCGAATCTCAGCTAAATCTACTCTATAACTAGTGTTTTCATTTTCCGTTCCCTCTTTTACTTTTACTTTTACTTCTCCTCCCCCTTCCTTTTCTGTAATTTTTAGCTTTTGTTATTACTACGTATGAACTTGCTTGGTTTTGTGCCAAGTTAATTAAGTTGGCAGTGTGTAGTGGTAGAATTTATTAATATTTTAGTGTCATAAGTTTATTTTTTATAATAATAAATATTTATAATTTAAAAAATTATAAATTTTATATATTTTTGAAAAAAATAATTGTTTAAAAATAAAAAATATTAAAATAAACTTTTAATTACAATTGAGAGATCAAATGAATTATTATTCTTTAATTTTTATTTTTTAACAACAGTTAATAATGTTTATTCATTTTTAATAAAATTATTTTAATTTTTACATTAAAATTACATAATATGTATAATCTAGTATAAGAAAACTTTGAGGGTAAATATTTTAAAATATGAATAATTTTATAAAAATTTTATAACTAGTATTTTTTGCACAAAATGATGATGATAATAAATATTTTATAATTTAAAAAATTATAAATCATATATTTTTGAAAAAAAATTATTGCCTTTTAAAATTAATTATTTAAAAATATAAAAAAATATTAAAATAAAATTTTAATTACAATTGAGGAATCAAATGAATTATTATTCAATAATTTTTTTAAAAGTATATGAAATTTATAATTTTTTAAATTATAAAATATTTATTATTATAAAAATAAACTTGTGACACATTAAAATACTAATAAACTCAACCACTACACATACTGTCTACACTTTGACAAGACCCTATCGAGTTCAAAAGGAACCGTGGTGTGGGGTGTCTGTGCAATTCAAAATGAAGATATTTTTACACAAATGTCACCATAATAGAAATTAATGACGTATTTGACATCCGTTGCGCACCTTCTATCAAGTGACATAAAGCGCGGCGTAGGAAATACGCCTTCTTACAAAAGATGTTAGATAAAAAAAATATAACCTAATAAGTATTACATCGATAAAGAATACCGATTACTAGTAATTTTTCGAAAAAAACGTCTCGCTTCCATGTTGTTGGTTATCTTTAAGAATGAAAAAAAAGGTCATATCGCTTCAAACTTGTTTACCTTCATTTTCAAGGGTAAATTATATGCTTATTCACTAATTTTTGTCTATTTCTTATTTTATTTATCATACTTTTAATATTTTCAATTTGCTCACTAAATTTTAGACATTGTACTTTTTTGTTACTCGACCTTTTACTCAATAATGGCGTGCTCACGTTGCTTATTTTAATAATAAATATGTCTATATTTACTCACTGAATTTTATTCTCTTTTCTATTTCACTCACTTTAATTTTTAATTTTTTTTAATTTTAATTTAACGGCGTTAAAAATTTAACGCTCGAGTGACAAAAAAATTAATATAGAAAGTTTAGTGAAAAAAATGAAAAAATTAAAAGTACAATAATTAAAATAAGAGAAATAAGCATATAATTTACCCCATTTTCAAAGACAAATTAAGTGGGATGTAGGATAAACTTAAATATTTTGTCTGACTTTTACTATTATTTGCCTACCGGCTTACGCCTCTGGAAATTCATCAATTTTCTATTGCAAATGCTTTGAGCTTGGCATTTTCGATTGGGGTATGGTGATTTCAGAAACTTGGGTTTCTTTTTAGCCACTCCTTAGCAAAATACTTGACCAAACTCTTGTTCTTTTTTTCCTTATATTGATAATTAAGAAATCGATCAAGAAACCAGAAGATTACAAATACAGGGGATACCTGAAGAACACGGGTAAAAAGATGGGTTCTCAAAAGCAAGGGTTCATCTGGATTTCAGGGCTTTTGTTTCTTAATTTCCTTCTCTTATCCGTGGCTGATGTCCACTACTACGACTTCTTTGTAAGTAATTTCTTCCGACTTTCACCCCCCGTTTTCTGTTTTGTTAATAAGATCAGTTGGTGCTGGATTTTGATACTGAGTTTCTTTTCTTTTTTTTTATATATCTGTTTAAATTAGTTGCAAGAATCCCAGTTTACAAAGCTGTGTAGCACGAAGAACATCTTGACCGTAAACGGCAGCTTCCCAGGGCCTGAAATTCGAGTTCTCAGCGGAGACACTGTTCTCGTCAATGTCCACAATCAAGCGAACAGCGCTGTTTCCATCAAGTGGTAATATCAGTGCATGTTTACATAGTTTTTGGTAGCTTCTATAAAGTTGTCTAATGAGGCAAATAATCGATTATACACAGGGATGCATCTACACAAGTTCGCCCTTAAAAAATTTTAATTATCATATTTTTTATATATTTTTTATTGATAATTTAACTTCAGAACTTAAAATTTTATAAATTTATCCACTAACATAAAATCTTATATCAGTGATATTGGTGGGTTTTTCGTAACATGGGCAGGGAGGGCATTGAGGAATCGATTAATGGTTCAAATGATATGATTCAGCCAGGAAGAAACTTCACTTACGAGATTGAATTACACAACGAGATCGGAACTCTATGGTGGCACGCCACCAGTGCATGGGCTAGTGCAACCGTCCACGGTGCCCTTGTCGTTTTGCCTGCAGTTAACGAAGACTATCCTTTCCCTACACTTGATTCAGATCAAACAATTATACTTGGTACATATTCTTACTGTTTCATTCATATATTTTTGCAACTTTGTTTGAAGCGCAACACTTGTTTTTGCCAATTTCTTCTTTCAGGAGAATGGTTCAGGCAAGAGTTAACCCAAGCCAATCAAACCATAGCTTCCGGCCAAGCCGATGCGTACACCATCAACGGACATCCCGGTGAAACATATGGATGCAGCAACGGTATGCCTGCACTATACTTTTATGCAGAGCCTTATGCAGTGCTAAAATTTATCTTGTTGCAGATACAACATTCGACTATCAAGTAAATTACGGGGGACTTTATCTTGTTCGCGTTATAAATGCCGTTGGCGACACAATGATATTCGGTATTGCATACCACAGCTTCACCATCGTCGGACAGAATGGGGCATACAGCAGACGCTCCTTCAGAAATTCACTAACCCTGGCCCCCGGCCAAGTGATCGACGTTTTGTTGTGCCCAAACCAGAATCTAGGCCATTATTACATTACTGCTCGACCTTCCTCGGACACCACACATACTACCCTCGGAATTCTACGGTATGCCACTACCACCGCCAACACTAATGCTTAATTTAGTTAATGGTCTCCTTATGTTAAAGGGTTTGATTAGTAAGGTTGATATACAAATAAGCGATTCAATATGGATATAGGTGTGGAAATAATGCGTTTTCATTTATAAGTTGTGATTGATTGATGTATGCTGCTTGAACGAGTAGTTTTCGATGATGTAATTTGGCATAGTCGCAAAGTTTGTTTTTACTATTAATATATTATTAGAGATCGATAGAATTGTATTTATTTCAAGACTTCAGTTGATATCTTATTTCAAGTTTAATTATTGTTTTCCTTTATAAAATACTAAAAGGGAGGGATCAAAAACCTGTTGAGGGATCAACTGCTATTTAAAAAAATGATGGAAATCGTCATTTCAAAATAATTCTTTCGAAAGGAAAGATGGTAACTGTATCTTAAGGCTGCAGATAGCAGAAATTAAGAGAGAAAAGAACGCATATAAATATAACATAAGGCACCGAGAAGACAAGCTGGTAGCTGAAACTTTTCATTGATTTTCACATCATCGGTCCTCCGATAACATCGGCTCTTTACAGTTCTCACTTAAAGATACAAATTTATGTAACATAATAAGATAAATGGTGAATGAAACTATCCCCAGAAATTTGCTAAAGATTGCATGATAATGGGGTTGAATATACAACATATATATACACATCAATTTTCAACTGGCTATACGAATGAGGGATGATTCAAGGAAAATGGTAAACAAAGAATACGAGGAGGAGGCAAAAGTACCATTTAGGGACTTGGGTTGAGAAAAGGGCATCATCCTACGTGCCACAAAGTTGACAAGGGTCAGAGGATCCCTGTGAGCACCAATGGTCAGGGACACTCAGAAAGTAAGTTGACATGAACTTTCTGAATCTTTTCTTATATTCCTTCGGAGAAATCACCGTCGGCAATAGATTCTTAGGAACAACCAATGAAGACTTGACCCATGTTTCGAGTTGTTTGTCCCAGGTATACTGCCTGAGATAATCAATAATCCCACATACAAGCTCCTGCCGCTGCGTATCCACCCCGACAAGTAAAGAATAATCCATTACATTGATCGACTGCAAATGAAAGCACAAGAACACAACTCAGTCTATGCCTCGTTCTAAATTAGAGAAATGTAACCTACAAATGATATATATATATACACGTCTATATATATGGGGTTCGGGATGTCACCATGTTGCGGTTAATGGGGAGTTTTGAATACTATTCAAAAGAAAGATGTTAAAGCTCACATTGAGGAAAGTTGTATCGTTCCATACAGCCCGTTGCAAGATACGCTTGGCTTGATTACTAACATATAATGGAGAGGAATTCATGTCATTGACAAAGTTCTGATCCAAAAGAACATCTCTAGATCCCTCAGCAGCTGAACTGAATCGAGCATGTAAAGCCCCTTTAAGATCATATAGTCGAGTAAGATTTCTACCAAAGGCAAGATTCTCTATCACCATAAGATCATGTCTTGACAACTCTTTCCCTGTTTTAGGCTGTCTTACTATCACCTGCAAAATGTTCAAATTTTCAAGAACATGAGCAAAAAAAAAGTAATTACATATTTAAAATTTATAAAAGAAAATTAAAGCAAACCTGATAAATCCCAAGAACTTTAGCAAGGCATGTTTGGCTTCCAGAATCGAGTGATTGATTCATGTACTTGAAAAAATCTAAACCAAACTTCTCGAATGATTCATATTCTGTTTTCTTGATTTCCTTTATAATAAACCTGTCATCAAGCGTTTTAGCAAAAAAGGACTTGCTCTTCCCTCCTTTGGCATCCCAATTTTTGCAACGGCTAAGAGAAGCAATATAATCAAGTACTGAAGGGCAGCACCGCTCTCGAAGATCACGGAACTGGTTAGCATACAAACAAAATACCGAGTATTTGCCCTTCCCTAGTGAGTTCGTAACCCCTAGAGAAACCTCGATGTTATGAGCATCAGGAGGAACTAGAGAATCCAACAAGTTTAACCCATCAAAACTGGAGAAGCGAGACTCTTCTGAAGAAACGCTCAGACTAGAGGCAGAGTCTGAATCAGAGGAACCATTGGACGACCATTGCAAAGATGTTATAGTAGGTGCTCGACTTAGGCTACGTAAACTTTCAATTAGTTTATCTCTCCTCCCTTCCTCATTAGGCACTTCTGTTACAGAAGGCATATCTTTCAGCAATGCTAATGCACAAGCAATTATACTTGAGAGTTCACCTTCATAATCTGATACTATATAATCATTGGTTCCTAGAGGAATGTGTAGTCTTGATGCTTCATCCCTGATTAATTGATAGCCTGTAGGTATTTGTGATGGAGTGCAACTACTGATGGATTCGAACTTGGGGACATTTCCTCTTAGAAGATCCTTCATATATATTTGTCTGATTTCAGAAGAAGGCATCCAGAACCATCCATTTATGTTTTCTAAACTGGATAGTAATGAACATGGAAATCCACAACCCCTACTACTTGCATCAACTATAGAATCATTGTAATCAAGATCTTTGGATATTGGGATTGTTCTATCTACTTGTAAATGACCTGATATTGGTGCATCCTCTGCCTGGTAATTTTCATCACCAAAATTGGGACAAACAGAAATATTAGGTGCCACAATGGACTCTAGCTTGGATGATTCCATAGGGGACACAGCATCCACCGTTGGCTTTTCAATGTTTTCAACCTCGGTGGAACTTCCATGTAAGCTGTCACATTCTTCAGATTTTTTAACAGGAATGTCTGAAGATAATTCATCACCTGAAAATTCATTTCTTTCAACAAATGAATCGGAATAAGCTTTCAGATAACCAGTATTTTCAGATAAAAAATGTTGATTTTCTCCACCACTGTCCTCTCCCTCTGCCCTATCCGTATGCAACTTCAGTTGCTCCGGCATTGCTTTGTTGTTGGCACCAGTGACTACTACTGTAGTAACAGGCAACAGCAGAGAATGCATGCGTCGATCCCAAATGAATGATGTCAAAAGAAGGTCCCACCTTACTCTGTTCAAGTTGAGGAGTTTGTGAGAACCCAAGTTTTCATTCCCATTATTCGCAACAGCATTCTGAATGCTTAGCTGCAATTTTTCCAATGATATATATGGATTAGAGACACATGCTCAACTAAATACTGCAGCCAAAAAAATCAATTAAAATAGTTATTTGAATTTTGAACTACATGGCAGAGCAACAATTTCTTTTGTTGACTAGATGTCATTTACATTGAAAATTATAGTACAATCAAGTTTCACTGGTGATAACAATCTGTTGAAACAGGGAAACAAACAAAAGAACACACTCATATAATATATTACAGTATCTCACACAGTATTGAACATGAAAAATAGTTGCTTGCGGGTGATTGATGAATAAAAGGAAAAATCAATAACGCCCAACAATATATCAGAAAGAAGAAGAGAAACCAACCTCAAATTCAGAAGCTTCCAGCTTCAGCATCTCTTCGACATCAGAGAATGCTTTTAAGGAACCATTAAGGTTTAAAGTTGAGCCCACAAACTGAGACCTTATTTGATCCAAAAAGGATGCAACCTCTCCAAACATTAGATTTCCTTTTGTATAAACCTAAAGAAAATATCAAAACAAATTCAAACATATTAATATGTGTGAGTGTTGGTGAGGGCACAGAAAATGTGTTGTAACACAGAATAAATATGTCATAAATCAAACAGTGGGAATAGAATATACACATACATTTTTGAATTCTTCCTTTAGCCAATCTGGTATAATTGATCTGCTAAACTCTAGTCGTTGTGGAGGCACGGACACAGTATAAGTGGTAACTGTAGAATAGCTAAACATTGCAACCATAGGACCTAACCTGCAGTTACATTAACATTACAAGAAATCTAAGGAAAACAAGTCTCTGAGCATAAGAAACTATAAACCTCTCCAACTCCTAGCTAATAGGTATTGTCACAAACATTTAAAAATAACAAGCTGTTACTATAAAACATAAAAAGCCCAAGTGACAAACAAAAAGGACAATTTTCTGTATTCTATAATACATTTGAAAGTAGTTTATTACTGCTAAATGGAAATGGAAAAAGTAAACCATACCCAAAGAAATAAAGGAAGTCCTTATGCAGAGAATGACCACAGCTGGATAATCCGTAGGAGGAATAGTGTTCGGAAAAGCTGAGCTCCAAGAACTTTCCAAATGAGAGACCACGCGCAGAAGCTGAAATTAGAACTCTTTTTGTAGATTTTGACATTCCATTCCCAGTTTGGCACTTGAAACAGCGACTCCACATCCAGAGTTTTCCCTCAGCTTCCCCAGGTAAATGCTTTGGAAGCCGTTTAACTTGTATTGTTAGCTGCTTATTATGATGTGCATAATAGTAGAAGTGAGCTTCCGGGAGTTCACCACATATAGTACATTGCCTTCTCTGCAAAACGCAAAAGCTCCTATCAGTGGGACTGGAAAACTCAACACTACCACGATTCTTCAAGAATCGCATACATGAGAAAACTGCACAAGTAAAATAAAAGAGAGAAAAAACTCTGAAAAAGAAATCCCAGAGACCTGATTGAGTAAATTATCTCGAAGAAACTTCCCAAGAGGAACATCAAAATTCCTGTAGAACATTATATGGCTAAAATGGCTTTGCTTACACATAATGCCCTTTAAAACATTTCGGCTAGACATAAGAACCAAAATACTTTGTGAATCCAACATACTGTTGATGTTCTCCTTATTTTGCATTTTCTCTTCATCATTATCGCCACTAGTATTCAACTCAAGTGGGGCTTCAGAGGAAGCTGGAAAAGATTGAGGTTGTCCGTCATCAAGGGATTTCTCTTCATCATGACCACATTTAGATTCCGCATCAAATTGCTCTGAGACCTCTAAACTTTTCATCGTCGGAACTGCTGCTGTAAGCTTTGGTTCCTCCTCATTTAACCCAAAATATGTAGACAACGACCGATAAGGAGCAGTGGATGCAAGAGGAAAATTGTTCCCAATTACTTTCTTCAGAGAGGCGGAAATAGATGACAAACCAGAGAAAATGGCTGGATTATATGGCTCCAAAGATAAAGCAGAACTATAGTCTAATTCTGACTTCAAGATTTGATCATCATTTACATGGTAACCTTCTTCATGGTATCCATTAGAGATGGGAATGTCAACTTCATTTGAATCAATTTCAGCTGTAGAGTCATCAAGACAAGGAACACTTGTATTACTAATATCTAAGGTATGGGATTCCTGATCTGTTGGCAACACGTCTGCTATTCCAGATAAAGGAATTGTAGAGAACATTCCCTTCTGATCAATAAGGAAGGAAGTTTCAAGGATTAAATGATGCGCCATGACAACAGCATACTGAACAACACACTTAATCTTTTTCAGTTCTTCAGAATGACTTCCTCTCAGCAAAATCTGCAACAACGTGATATCAAGTTAACAAGGAAGTACACGGACGGGAACATGCCATAGATATACCAGAAAAGAAACAAATGAAGAAGAAGCTTGTTATCCGGCAGATAGCATCACGTCAAATATCTTAAGACTAGATATCAACCACTAAGTTATTTTTGAGAAACAGGAGGGTAAAAATTGATGTTACAAAGAAACCAAGTGGAAGACACCCGAGCATCAAAAGTAACAGCCCCATAACAAAACTATGCATAAACAACTATAAATTGGTAAAGTGTAACTTACCCATAAAGAAACTTCATTTTTAAAATGTGTTTGCATGTACACAAAAACATATTGGTTCATCACGATTATTGGGGAACAGAATCAAAAAAGAAAGAAACAGAAGAATAAGTTGTCAACTTACAGTGCAACAAAGACGTTTAGGACAGCCCTCAAGAAACATCAATGTTTTACTTGGTCGTTTTCCCCCTTCACCAGAGGAAGCATGTTCTTCAACAAACTTTTCAATATGAAAGGAATCACACAGCTTATAGGAATCATTCTGCTTTAGGTTTTGATTAATCAAATGATTGGACGGTATTATTGGTGAGCCAGTACAGCACGCAACTCTCTTGAGACGATGTAGCTTCATGTCAAACACCAGTGTGATTCCTTTGGAAAGAATACACTCTTGAACATCACGTGAAACAGATTTCTCCACCAATATCACATTTGGATGGCACATATCTATCATCTCACTTAGAGCTTTCATATGACCTTTTTCCTGTTTTTAAGGGTCGATGATCAGAAACGAAGTAGAAAACTTCTGCATTACAAAAATTAGAATTCATGTTTTCCCATGGTACCTCATCTAGTGAACTTAATGAAGACAACCCACTTGAGGACTGACCAAGGGCTCCCTGAATTAATAACATTCTTGGATTCTTGAACTTAGTTTGCATGTGCTTATGAGCAGCATGCTTTTTGAAGACCAAACCCTTGATTAATTGGCTGCAAAAAAGGGTTAATTTTTAGGTTCAAGAAATGAATACTATAACAGAAATAACATTAATTTTCTATTATAATGAGGTATTTCAAATAAAGCACGTGAGATGTTGATTTTCACACATGCTCTAACATATTGATTCAACTAATTAAATTTTTAAAAAAGTGTGTTAAGTTTTTACATGCTATCAGTTAAAGGAAAAGTAACCAATACTCTCTCAATGAATTAAATATTATGCAGATAATATATGTTTATAAGAACTATCTGAAAAAGATGCTTCAGAGAAGCACAGTATGCTCACCCTTTAATCTTAAAAAGGAACATAAAAAGTGAAACAAAAAACCTATTTGTCCTTCCGCGTAAACTCTAAATTAATTATTCAATAAATATCCATAACTAGGAGCAATATAATTTTAAATAGTATATTGAAATCATATCACCTTTGACTGCGAGAACCGGTTGCAATGCATTTCACTTTCATACATCCATCTGGACCCATTGTGTTGCCGTCGATAGGATCATGTTTCAAAAATAGAGCGGCTTCCAAAGATAGAGAAGTAACTATATCCACCCAACCATCATTGTCATTCACAGAACAGGCAAAACCCACAGATTTAAGAAGTTGACTGACAATAGTTTTGAACTTCCCATTTATCACCTCTTTCACTGCCCTTTGTTTTTCCTCTTTAAACCTGTAGAGTCCATTGTCCACATCTGTATGACTCAAGGAACTTGGTTTTCCCCATTTTATGCCATCTTCACATTCGTCGTCCTCGTCGTCATAAGCCAGTGTATTCTCCAAGTCATCCTCTGGATCTTCAGGTTCCGGAGGTTCCCAAATTTGACTATCTATTTCACCACTAATAAATTGAGGAACTCCATTTTCTTTGACAAAGGTTCTAGGAGAATTTCCAATTTCTTTTGCTGCTAGCTCATTACTAGTTTCTGTTTTCTCACCGTCTCTAACTATGTCCATATCATTGCTATTTTTCTCATCCCTCAAGTTGCTTTCTGTTATCATATTCGAGCTATCAACTCTCCCCCCAAGGCCTTCTGAGCTCAAGTTTCGTCCATTTGGCAGATAATTGAGCTCCCCATGACTAATTTTTGAACCAAACTCTTGCTCACCCTCAACCCTGAGACATATCAAATATAAATAAGTACATGTTATATTCACGGTCACACATATAGAATCACAAGTCTCCAATTAATAATGACTAGTAGTATAACAGCACCATAATAGAAAAGAAGGGCACCTACCGATCGTATGAGTCCATATCAACTGAAAAATCACCTGATGGAACAGAATACAAAATTTAAAATAGTTACCTAAAAATGGGACAGAATTAAATTAACAAATAAAAAATAGATGGATACTAACTGCAGCTAGAATATGAACGGTCACCGCTAGACAATAAAGAAGCTGGACTGATCAATGGTGTTGAATACAGAGTATTACCATCACGTTTTACAAACTCTCTTCCTTGCCTCTCCCAAAATAATTTACACGGCCGAATTGTATCTCCAGTACAAGAGATTAAAACATTACCGTTCTCCGGTTTCCTTTTGTCCTCACTGGCATTCGAAAGTTCAGCACCACAGTAATGACACATACTACATATCTGGTGAGATAATAACTCCAGTAAATCCAATCACCTATTGGATAAGAAGGGGAGATAAGTTTGTTATGCAAAATAATGTAAATTGTTCTAAATCAGTAAATTCCACCTAGACTAAGATCGTCTTTTTGAATAAACCAAACACTTCAGTAAGGCACTGAGACTGAAATTTTCTTGCAAAGAGAAAACGAAGTCCATTTTTTCAAACATTAAATATTCAGCTTACTAGTTTTGAATTAAAGAAAAAAGTTAATTGCATGTTAATTTTTATCTGAAAATTATCAATTTTACATTTTCATTGTACATGATTGCATAAAAAAATCATCCTTATTATTATGTCCTAATATCTGTCATTGTATCCATGTTGTGTCATGCTTGAATTATGTATCTGTATCTGTGTTCCCCGGAGACATAAACTAAAACGGAATTAATTCCTCTATCAGTGTTCACAAGTAAATCTGCAATTCTGCATAGGTTTCAAAACTATCCCAAATAAATCAGGAATTTTAAAGAGTATTTCTCCCCTTTAAAAGTATTTATGCTATGAACACAATGAATCCTTCATATTATAGAGATCAAAAGGAACAAAAAGCATGGGGATAAATTCCAAGATATTCAGGAGAAAAACAAGTTAATTAACTACCAAAGAATTGTGACGATCATACACTGAATCCATGTTTACAATCAGAAAAAGATCCTTTAGTTATATAAAAAAGAAATCAGAATCCAAAACCTGAAATTATTGATGCTTCAAAACAATCAAATACAATGAAACAAAATAGAGTAAACAGAGAAAAAGATCAAACATTGTTCATTGGAAACAGTGACCACACACTGCAATTTCAAAAGGTCAATAAATATACATACACCAGAACAAGAAGAAAACAATAATACCAACATCCGAAACCGAATTGTAATCTTCAACAAAAGAAAAAAAAAGGGGGTCAATTTTCAGAAGCCGGATGGTCTGGAAAATGGATAAAATCACAAAAACGTGACCTTTTGAATTTCCAAAAACTGGGCACTGTTTTAAATGTTTCCCCCGGGGGGGGGGGGGAACAAGCTACCATACTTGAGCTGAACAAACAATATAAAAGGGAAATGATAATTAAGTCAGACCAAAAGCAATTCAATGAACCCAAAGATAAAGGCAAGAAATATGGAAACAAAGAATCAGAACTAAAAACTTACTGTTAAAGCAATCCAAAGAACAAAGATTTGGGTGTGATGAGCTCTGATCCAATCCCGAGCCTAATGATTTTCTTAATCCTCTACCCAGAAAGCAGAGATATTTTTTTCTTTTTCAGAAATAAATAAATAAAAGCAAAGAATGCAACAGAAATGAACTGAGGAAAAGAGAGAGACAATGGAAACAAAAAGAGAAGGATTGAGAAAGAATGAAATTAAATAGAAATGGAAAGGGAAAGGGAAAGGGAAATGATTTGAAGAAAGGCATTCAAGAGTGGGCTCCAATCCCTGTTGCTCTATTTCACACTGTTCTGAATAAGGTAGGTATATTAATTAACGTATATACATTTTTTCAATGCTTTTGAAAATTAAAATAAAATTACAACCATATCCCTGGTATTTTTATTCTTTTTTCTCATGTACAAGACAAAAACAAAAGGATCACTAATTAGTTGATCTAATGATATAATATATTAGATTTATTGTATAAAATTAAATATTTAAATCATGATATGGTGAATAGCCATATTGAATTAGGAGAGTTGTTCTTTATAATATTGGTCTAAACTAATCGATCAATAGGTCAAATATCGATAGTTAATAAAAACAAAAGGGGTAAAATTGTACATGCATGATTGTTGATGAACTAAGCCCGTATTAAAAAATTCGGGTACATAAATTTAATGTTCGTAAAAAAATGTACTATTAGGGTTTTAAATCTAAAAAAAACTTAAACCATATTTAATTTGATTTGTTAAATTGGGAAAACATTTCAAGTATAAAAATATATAAATATTAGGATTTAAATTTTAAATTTATTGAATATATATTTAATATAATTAGTATAAGTTATTTTAACTAAAATTTAAATATAATAATATATATATTAAAATTATTTAATAAATATTTCACCAAAAATATTATTTAATAAATAGTCATTTAAATTCTTTTGGTGAATAACGATATAATAAATCTAAATCTTAAGCTACTCTTTTGTCCTTATGCAAGAGGAGAAGCACTCCAACGAGGGATACAGGAAATAGTCGGGTTTCAACGTCATCAAATCTTGCAGCTTTTGCCCATCTGTCAACTACCCGGTTTCCGGCTCGGTGTATATGTTGAGATTGAGTCTCTCACGATCTATTAATCAATTTATTTATGTGCGTTAGCAACGTCGGTGATCTAGATTTTTATTGACTAGCCGCAAAGCATCCATGCTATCCATTTCCATAATCGTCTAATTCTCATGTCCCAAACATAGAGGAAACCAATATACTGAACCATCTCAATGATATATGAAATATTATTCTTTTAAAATATTTCGAGTTCAAACAATTATGTTGGTAGAAAAGTATATATATTATTAATAATTTAAAAATTAAATAAGTAATATATTATAATCAACTAATACTATTAAAAAATTAACTAATATTTTTATTGATTATTGTAATATATTAGAGATATAAATAACCCTGGTCAATTTTTATGTCGTGGACCGATTTTGTTGGAGCAATAATATTTGATGAAATGCAATCATACAAATCTACCTCATAATAAATAATTTTTAATTTCATGAATTTAATTTTTAAAGTGGGTAATGAATATAATAAATATATAAATAATTACATGGTGCCCATATTGAAAACAAGGATCCAAAATGAATTGATGGATGAAATAATGTGTACGCGACAAACGGACAATACGAATAGTATATATATATAAGGGACAGCAATGCAAAATGCTTGAGAGATGTCCAAAATGTAATAATTTAGGCGGCTGTCTTATTTTCATCTAAATTCTAACAAGGGTAACCTGATTTGCTGGGGGTGTTGAGTTAACAGACTGTTGTCGTCACCGTCATCCACGTGGACGAGTATCAAAGGTGGAATGCCTTTTCAATTGACGTGGCGATTAGCTGTTCGGTAGAGGGTTGACATCTCCATAAACGGATCCTTGTATTAAACGGAAAGCAATGATAGCCTATCATCATAGAACAACTTTCGTCCCTACAATCTTAAAAAGGATTTTGTTAGATTAATCTTTTAAGGGTCAATTATCATATTGGTTACTTTTGTTTTAATTTTTTTAATTCTGATCATCATAATTCAAAATTATATTTCACTCACTTATTATTTATTTCTTATAAATTGATCTTGAGTAGTTACATTATGTTATTTGATAAAATTAAAAAGATTAAATTTTATAGTTATTAATTAGAAAAATTTATTAATTTTAAAACTTTATAAATATGTATTTTTTTGTATTCTTTAGTATTTATGTACTTTATTAATTGAATTAATAAAATTAATAAAATCGAGTGCGTGTGAAGTGATAAAAAGTTTTTTTAGTAATTATCAACATTTGATTAATTTATCGATTAATTCGAATAAAATTTTGTAGAGATTCATTACGAAAGCAATCCTCCAAATCGAATTTATTTCATTTACAATATCAATATTAAATTTTATAATTTAAGGAATCTAGCTCTCTGTTTATAAAAGTTTTTAATAATATGTTTTTTGAATGTGTGTTTGACGAGAAATATCTTTAAAAATATGTCTGACGTAAAACGAATTTAGCCTACACACAAAAAAGATATGAATCCAAAAAATAAACTTAAAAAAATTAATTTAGATATTATTTTTTTAAGTACGATATTTAGATTAAACGAACCTAAAACGGATTGTGAATAATATTAACACATGTTTGTGGGAAATCATCCTAAGAAATAATATTTAAAACAGATAATAATATTTCACACAATCACAGATAAGATCACTACCTTTTACGAAGGATAATAATTATTTTAGGAAAGAGAAAATAATTTTAGTGACCAAAAATACCTTATAATATACGATTTTAATCAATTTTTTTTGGATTTGTCAAAATGACCAACTAAATCGCAATGCGATCGATAATTCGCAACGCGATCTCCGGTATCGCAAATCAGTTTCCAGATTCGCAACGCGAACATCAACTATCGCAACGCGAACTTCGTCTATCGCAATGCGATTTTCCAAATTCGTTGCGATAGTCCAAGTTCGCGTTGCGATTTTCCAAATTCGTTGCGATAGTCCAAGTTCGCGTTGCGATTTATTCCAAATTCGTTGCGTCGAAGTTCTCGTTGCGATTTATTCTAAGTACGTTGCGTTAGTCGAAGTTCGCGTTACGATTTATTCCAAGTTTGTTGCGATAGTCGAAGTTCGCGTTGCGATTTATTCCAAATTCGTTGCGATAGTCCAAAATCGCAAAGACCGGTGGTATTGCATTTGTTTCTTAAGAATTTTCTCTAAAAATATAGTATTCGCGCGGACGTGTCGAAGACACGTATTACCACGACCACGACCACGACCCGAGACGAGACGATACGGCGGCGGCGCGCACGCGAAAGTCCCCCTTGTTCTCTATCACTCAACAAGGAAGTGGGAAAGCCAAGCCTTAAATACCATTCCCAATAGTGTTTCCAATACTATGTGGGATTGAGCATTACCAACACTTGTTCCTAATACTATGTGGGATTGAGCCTTAAATAGTGATATTATTTGTGAATTATAGTTAATGACTTTAGTATTTGTATGAAAAATATTTGTGGTTCGTTTAGTTTTCATGCAATTCTAATTTATTTTCAATTGATTATAATTACACGGTAACAATTTTTTTATTCTCGCGAGTGATGCAATTTTTTTGAATGTTTTGCTTAAAATTACAATAATCGCGATTGATTGTAGATTGACTTTTAATTATGAAATATTTAATCGTATAATACTAATCGTCTCGTGGTTGTGGTCGTGGTCGCAGTAATACGTGTCTTCGACACGTCCGTGGTCGTGGTCGTGTCTTCGACACGTCTGCACGAATATTATCTTTTTAGAGAAAATTCTTAAGAAACAAATACAATACCACAAGTCGTTGCGATTTTGGACTATCGCAACGAATTTGGAATAAATCGCAACGTGAACTTCGACTACGACTATCGCAACAAATTTGTAATAAATCACAACGCGAACTTGGACTATCGCAACCAATTTGGAATAAATCGCAACGCGAACTTAGACTATCGCAACGAATTTGTAATAAATCGCAACGCGAACGTGGACTATCGCAACAAATTTGAAATAAATCGCAACGCGAACTTGAACTATCGCAACGAATTTGGAAAATCGAAATACGAACTTCGACTATCGCAACGCGAACTTGAACTATCGCAATGCGAATATGTAAATCGCATTGCGATAGTCGAAATTCGCATTGCGAATCTGGAAACTGATTTGCGATACCGGAGATCGCGTTACGAATTATCGATCGCATTACGATTTAATTGATCATTTTAAAAAATCCAAAAAAAATTAATTAAAGTCATATATTATAAAGCATTTTTTGTCAGAAAATATTTTCTCTTTAGGAAAACATAAATTCAGTGTGCATTATCCCAATAACATGGGGCCTCTTCGAGGTTCAAAATTCGAAAGCTTATTTATAATATTTTTGCTTCCAAAATACGTGTTTGATATTCAAAATTGTAATATTGATTTTCACATATTTAAAATAAGGGCCCGCCCCTAAGAGGATTCGAAGGGTATATACGTATACGATTCAAGTGGTGCCACGTTTACGCGCCTAATCACATTCTCCCTTTGTTTTGGCATTTGCGGCCTTTTATTCTTCTTTTTTATTTCTTTTCAAGATGTGACGTAATGTAATTTAAATAATTATTTTTTATCAGTTTATGATTATTGATAATGAAAAACCTAAAAATAATATTTAAATTATGTAAGCTTTATCTCATTTATAAATTTAAAAATTAATGTGTTTAAATATGTTTAAATTTATATTTTTTAAATGTTATGATAATAAGTATGTTAATTAGGGGGCGTTTTGATCAAGTTATATGTTTGGATTGTAAAGATTCTTAACCTTCGGTAATAAGTTATTCTTAACAGTGATATTTTGAGGGCTTATTATTGGAAATGTGATTTACTCTTCCCTTAGTTATTGTTACATTCCCAGTATTTTAGACTAAATACCCTTAATTTTTTTAAATATCATTTTTTTGTCATTGAATAAAAAAAATCTACGAAGTTTAAATTGGAAATTTATCCTTAAACTATTTTAGATTTACAAAAAAAAATTAGAATTAGAATTTTATATGAAGTTCAGGGGTTAAAATAAAATTTTACTATTTCATTAAACATGTTTATCTTTTCAATTATGTAAAAGAATTATATAAATTTTATGAATTTAAATTTTTTAAAGAAAATATATAAATTAATTATAGTAGAATTATAGTAGAATTCAATTTGTTAAAAAAATATATATAATAAGGAAAATTTGGTAAAATATATATTCCAATAATCTTTTATTCATTTAACCAAACTTTGTAATCTTACATTTCTACTAAACGAACCAAACACAATAATGCAACATTCTCAATAATGTATTAGGTAATGTTACGTTCCGGTAATCCTATTCCCGCCGGTAGTCTTACATTCCGTGAACTAAACGCACCCTTAGATCAATATTTAATCGAATAACAACAACTATTTTAATTAACTAACAATACTATAAAATTAAATAGTTTATATTATATTAAATTAAAATAATCTTAAATTTAAACACGATAAAATGACCAAAATTATAATCTAAATCTAAATCAAATCAACTTTTAAATTGAGACATAAACAAAGTGTACGATATAATTAAATTTTTTTCCAAAAGCTAGCAACTTGGGGCAAATTTGTTTTGAAGTTTATGTTGTTATTCTACAAATCTGTTGGTGATAATACTTAATTAAATAATGTAATCGTAATTGTTGAATTATAATCTTCAGTCATTTGAAAATTGGGCAAATCATTTTAAATTGGACACTAGAAACGTTTGAGGCCGTGCTTTGTGAAAAAGGCTCCCAAAAGGCAAATCAGATAGATTAAGATTATTGTAACATTACTAAGAAATCATATCAGAAGTAATTGACAAAGTAGGTATTTTGTTGTGTATAGAGTGTTGGTATGTAATAAGTGGTTAATTATAAATGCTCTGATCGATTTTGTATTAAGTGGTATCTTTTATGTAAATTAATGTATTTTATTTTAATGAAAGTTTTAAATTCCCGGGGTTTTTCTTTAAGAATCAAAGTTTGAAAAGTCAATGTGACATCTCGGATTTGTATTCGGGTCGAATATGAGTTAGGGGTGTTACAGTTACTAAGTGACTAGTAAACTATTTGTAGATGGTACAAACTCTTAACAATTCTTGGTGTACTATTTTTCATCTATCTAAGTTTAGGGAGGTTTTTTTAACGATGTCCAAGCTGTTATTCCATTTTATATTTACATATAATCAAATACAAAACTATTTTCTTTTTTTAAAAAAGTGACTCTCAAGATAATGCTACCCCACGTTACATCACACATGCCTTGAAGTACTCAATTAAGGTTAAACTTGTTGTTTTTGAAAAAAGTTAAATTTAATTTTAATTTTAAGTATAGATAATTTAAGAGGATGTGAATAAATAAAGTTGAACGATTTGATTAACTAATCAAATATACTTACTTTAGCTGATATTAAATTTCAATCAGAATTCATTTAAAAGAGATAGTTGTTCAAATATATCGTATAAAAATTAATGTAAGATTTGGATTGATGTTTCGCTTTTATAATGAGACCACATGCAAGTGGAGCGTGTGACAAACAAAAATTGGGTTTAAAATTATTAGCAAAGAAGCAAAAGTCCGAGAGATCATATGAATTTGAAATTCATAATTATTTTGACATTTTATATTGTTTGAATTTTAAATTAAAAAGTGTCTGTTGCTGCTGCCTTACACCATTTGTTCCATTTATTGCAAATTAGACAAAAGTCTCACATTTTTTAAGTTGTAAAATCTTATAACACAAACCATATTTTTTTAGGGTATCAATCTCTATGAAGTGACCAATTTAACTTAAACGAGTTATACAGTTGTGTTTTTTTAATTAAAGTAGAAATTTGAAAAAGATGTTAAAAATTAGATTGGAGGAGCATCTCTTGATTTTATAAGTACGGTTTAAATTTATTGATAAAATTTATTATGTAATTGATTTACAACTGAATGAACGATTGAGGGTTCGAAATAATTAACCGACCGTCTCTTTTAAAATTGTAAATTAATATAAAAAACTATATTTTAAATCCTACAAAAATAAAAATAAAATATAAAGATGTTCGTCTAATTGTTATATACGTATGGGTGAGTTCCATTCTAAATAATTAATATTAAATTAGCTGACCCTATTCTCATATATAATAGGGTGAGGGGGAGGTAAGGTAGTATGTTGCCTCAACGCTAGGTTGAGAGTAACTTCCGTGGAATAACTCCAGCAATCAGAATTGTGAATTGTCCACCGTGGGACTCGATCCCACGACCATAAGGTTAAGAGTCTTACGCTCTACCAACTGAACTGGATGGGCAATTGAAAACTCTACAGCTAACCTTTAAGCACAATTCTTGTAAAGGTTTGAACGGGCCACAGTCTTTTGTTTAGTTGATGGGCTAATTTTATATTTGCTGTACTTTATTAAAGGTAAAGCCCTAACATCTTTTCTTATCCTAAATAAATAACTGTTAGGTGTTGAGTTACAAATCAAACAAAAAAAAATACGATAGGGGTAATCAAAGCCAGCTTTATCTACTTATTGAATAAAAAAATTAAAAACATTTGTAACCCTTAAATTATGTCGAAATAATTATTTAATTACTAAAATTAAAAAATTATAAAACGATTACTAAACTTGTACATGAAAAATAAACTCTACGTTAAATTTTTGTAAGGTTTAATGGTGCACACTCACTTTGTTATATCTCATGAAAAAGGGGAAAGTTACACATTGAATATACATATAATGAATATATAATTTGTTAAGAATTTGTAAATAGAAAAGTAATCACACACAGTAAATGAAACTTAACATGATTTGATTATGCATGCTTCTTTGAGTGAGCTAAAAAATTTATTATAGACATATATATTACAAAGAGTTCATATATATAAACTTTTATGTATCTTAAAAAAAATGATATTTATCATGAATCTAATATATCTCTAAACTCGATTTATCTTAAATAAAGATCCCATAAAGATTGCAGTTCTCTAATAATTTCCTCTCATAATTCTAAAGGTTATGACTTACTTGTAGAGCTAAATAGCTAATCACCAAGAAACTTTATTCCATAAAAATGCTTATATAAATAAATTTAACCTTTAAGTAATCTAGAACCACTAGAATTATACCAAATCCAACTTAATTATCAATTAAAATTTGAATTAATACATAATAATCTCTCATTAGCACAGAGAATTGATCTTTTAAGTCTTCAAATATCCATTGAAGCACTTTTTACTGGTTGAGAACCCCTCTACAATTGAAACTAATTTCAAAAAACTCCTCTAGTATATTTTCAATCTTGCTAATGCAATCTACAACAATAAATTCTCTTGAAACTGAACAACTACTAATGTCCACGTCACCATAAGTCTCAAATTATGAATCTAATATCAATTGCTATAAAATTATAAGTAGGCAAATAATAAAAACGAGATCCGTATGAAATAATCACATTAAAAACAAAATTTAGAGTAGTTTGTCTATGTCTACTACTATAGATGAGAGAAAAATCCACTACAACCATACAAATTATAAAGAGTTTAAATAAATAAAAATATTTATATTCCAAAGAAAAAAAAACTTCTAGTATATATCATAAACCCGATATATCTTATAAATTCGATCTATTGTCAAAACTCTTTATACATCCTTACAAAATTTATTTTTTAAACAGATACCTCAAAAGGATTACATCACTTTAATAATTTCTTTCACAATTTTAAAGTTTAAAACTTGTTGAACACATCAAGTTGGCTCAGTGGTTAAAAGGAGCGTTGCTCTCACTAGAGGTTTTGAGTTCAAGCAGTTGTATCTATGGGTGTGTGCGTGTTGTTAATGGTTAAGAAATATTCTGAACATATATTATCTTATAATCATACTAAATTATTCAAAAAGAAATTAAAATTTACTATAATAAATATTATAGATTAAACTCTTTTTTAGGTTAGATATGGTCATATGGGTATTGAAAATAGAAGCCTAGATTAGGTATTAATTGATGTGAGCTGGATTGCGAATATAGAAACATATTTGGACTGGGTACAAAATAAGGACAAAAAAATTCATGCCTTTTTTTTTTCCTGGGTGGAGGTTGAACGCGAGTCATAAAGAAAGATGATTGGTGGAGGCAGAGCGTGGGGGATTGTAATGCTGTGGGAAAAGCAAATGTTTGGCAAAGTCAAAATTACTTATAAAACTGTGATATGAATTGATTCTGCGAATGGGATGAGAGTTTGATGCACAAGAATCGTATTCCAGAGAATTAGATTCTTCCACCCCCCAAATACCAAAAATCAAAATCCTCCCTTTTTCTCTCTTGCGTTGACGTTGCGTTATATTTTATTCATTTATATCCAAAAAAACCCAAAAGTGGAAGACCCTTCTCTGCCAAGCCACTCACTCTCTGCAATTTCAATTTTCAACAATCAATTTCTGAGTTGAAAAAGAATGTTGAGAAAGAAGAGAATCCGAGGGGGGGGGGTTTAGTGGTGTGCCCAATGCCCAACATTTTTATTCAATTGGTGTAAATCTTGGTTAAGTGGGGGATTGTAGTAATGTTCTCTGGCTTCTTTACGGTATCCATTGATTTGACATATAACCCACCTTTCGAGTTTCACTTTGCTATACATCTACCAATTACTTTCCTTTTATGTTGGACCATGGTTTTAAGTTTGTTTAGATAGATTTAATAATATTTTTTGGTACAGTATACAAGTAATCATTTTATTATAAAGAGTTGTTTTATCGAGTATTCTAAGTATTAAAAGTTTAAAAATGATCATCTAATTATAAGGTGATATTTTGTTAAGTCATCCGATTATTCAAAGTTACAAAATTATTACTCGACTATTTATATGTTTCAAGTTCGTATTTTTCCGTTAAAATATTGATGACAGTCTGAGCTAGACGTTAACATGGTGATTAATATATAATAAAATTATATTATAATGATGTTTACTGACACAATTGTTGCTTTCAAGAACTGACTCAATGGTGTAATGCTTTAGGCGCTGACTCGATGACATAATGTAAACTGAGTGTTGATCAATAAAATACAACTCAAATGATTATGATATCAGATTTTATAATATCATAATCAACAGTTTAACGTCCAACTTAGAAGGCTGCCAAATTTTTAATAGAAAATTATGAGTTTGTAATATATGAATAGTCGAGTGGCTATTTTGTATATTTTAATAGTCGGGGAGTCAACAAAGCAACGCCGTATAGTCAGAGGATCATTTTGTAACTTTTAATAGTAAAAAAATTGAATAAAACAACGCTTTATAGTTAGAAAATCATTTGTATACTTTATTATGTTTTTTATATATTCGAAGAGGGATATAATTTAAATTCTATATAGACTTAAATATACAAAAGGTGTTCAATTTATGTTCGTTTTTTCAGTTTAGTGCCTAATGTTTATTTCGTTATAGTTTAGTGCCCAATGTTTCATTCCGTTACTCAAAATGGGTCAAGCCATGACAGACCGTTAGTTTTTTCCGTTAAATGACACGTGTCACAATATGATTTTAAAAAAATTATATAAAATTTTAAAAAATAAAATTATATATATTTTTAAAAAGAAAACACATAAATTTCAAAATAACCCGAAACTTTAAAAGCATTCATTTCAACCCCTAAATTCACACCGACCGCCGTCATTTGTCGTCGACGAAGCTCCACCCGACCTTACCTCCCTTGGCGACCAAAACCCTATGAAATTGTGACTGGTCAACGGACGATTGGCGGCAAATCAACGTTTTATACCCTGCGAATCCTAGGATAAAAATCGCAATCCCAAGCGATTTCGACAGCCAAACTACGACAACTTATAACTAGGATGATGACAAGGACTACGTCGGTGGCAGTGGTCGTGGCTGTAAAGGGCCGCGAAAGTAAGTTAGTGTTAGGATTTGGGGATTTTAAGAATTTTGAGGCTTTTTTGTAATTTAAAAGAACAAGGGTTTTTTTTATAGATATAATAACATTTTTAATATTTTTCTTAAAAAATGAATTTCAAATTTACGATATGTGTGACACGTGTCACTTAACGAAGAAAACTAACGGTTCGTTACGGCCTAACCAAATGGGTATAAGTTAGACACATTTTGTATATTTAAACCTCTAGATAAAACAAATGTGGATATCATTTACCTAGATATAACGACAGTATTCAAATAATATACTTATTTGGATTTAGAAGTAATATTAACGATGCTTTGAAAATAAAGAAAATGTTATTCGGTCGAATTATATATATCTAATAAATAATTAAAATTATATTTATTAAAAGTTAAACTAGTGAATTGTTTTAAAAGAAAAATAAAGATATAAATTGAAATATTAATCTTACTAGAGATTTTAAGTTTGAGCAACTATGTTTGTAAAATACGTGTACATTATTTATAAGTTAAAAAAATTTTAAACAGATAATATTTTATAATAACATTATATTATTTCATATATATATATATATATATATATATATATATATATATATAAACGGGATAATCATGGACACTACCCAACTTGTGTGTGTTAACCATTGAAGGATGGGAATATTCTTAGATTTTTTTACGGTTTATTTTTCAGAAAAAAATAATATCATTCATTCATAAAACTGTTTACACCCGGCGAAATGTATTAATATTTGCATTATATGTTCAGTGTGTTGAAGACTGTGATACTGAAACACATAATACCACGTATTAAAAAGTATTGATATTTTTATTTTTATATTGAAATTATATATATTTTTAAAAATTTTTTTGAAATGAGCAGAAACAAATGGTAGTTGTCAGTTTGTATTTAGGAGTATCAACTATTTTCAAAATAATGGTAATAATATTTTAGAGTGGTGTTAAATTTATTTTTAATATCTTTCAGTAAAAAAAATATAAATTTGTTAATTTTTTTTTTAGATGTCAACAGACACTTCAACACTGAATGTTATTCCGGCCATGATCACAAATATCACCCGTTTATCCGTTTAATAATGTAAATAAAATTTATCTCATTAAGTAATTTTAATGGAAAAAACGAATATTATTAATATTTTTAGAGATTTTGAATTTGAGCAGTCGTGTTTATAAATAGGGATAGCAAACGGGTGGGTTAGGTGCAGATACTCCCTCCCTCATCCCCATACTCACCTCATATTTTTCAATCTATCACCCGCCAACCACCTATGATGGGTACAAATTTTTAAATCCACACCCGCCCACGCGGGTATATTCTCAAATTCACCTCTACACCCACTACCCACTAGTGACGTACCCGTCTAAAACCGCCTGAAAGCAAACTTAAGTTATATATAAGCAACAAACATAAAAAAAAACATGTCCATTAAAAAATATAATAAAATAATCCAAAGATTATCTGAGTTAGTATTAATATAGATCTTAAAGTACATAAAACACCATAATAAAATATATAATTAAAGTTTAGAAACATAAATGACAAACACATAATGCTTTTGTTCTTTGGCACAACATTCTAAAATTTTAGGCAATACTTGTGATATATGATACTCCAGTATTACAATCATCATTCTCTATTTCCTCCAATTGATAGCGCTCAAATTTAAATTCACTATTACCTACATATATAATAGAAAGTGGGCGGGCGAGGCAATATTTAGCTGAGCGGGCGGATGCGAGGCGGGTAATGTCTCAAACCCATTACCCGCCCACTATCAGCGACGTGTATCACTTTCTAAATCCACACCCGACCACTACCCGCTAAAATTATACCCATCCCCGCCCCAATTGGAGTGGATGCGGTACGAAATCCACGAAATTGTACCCGTTTACCATCTCTATTTGTAGAGTTCATTTATTATCAAAATTAATTAAAAAAATTCTAAACATATATTATCTTTAAAAAGTCATAATATTAAAATAATAATATAAATAAAATAAATCCTTGAAATTTATGTTGACATTGGGGCAACTTATTAAAGCAAGAAAATCATGGATTTGAAAAACGTAAGGTCCACAATTTTCTTTGTATATATATATATACTTTTTGTGTGGGCTGCTGTATTTTAAAATGTAGAATCTATTCCTTATTGCATATTAATTTTTCAAATAAATCTGTTTCTTTCTATCTATATAATCTGCCTCTTCCCAAGCTTAATGATCTACCCACATATGAGAATAATCAGGGGGGGGGGGAAAGAAATGGGGGTAGACATACAGACCAAGCTCCGCCTAGCTCTTGGCTCAATGAAGGATCATGCATCCATTGGTAAGGCCTTGGTATACAACCACGACGGAAAACCCTTTTCCGATATAGAGATCGCCGTGCTCCGAGCCACCGGCCATGATAACGGTCCCATTGAGGACAAATACATGCACGAAATCCTCTTCCTCGTCTCCAACTCTCCGGGATCGGTCCCTTTCCTGGCCGAAAGGATTTCACGTCGGCTCTGTAAGACCCGAGACTGTCTCGTCGCCCTCAAAACACTCTCGCTCATCCACCGTCTCTTGCGCGGAGGCAACCGTTGCTTCGAACGAGAGCTGCGTAACTCTCATGTCTCCGGTCATCTCCAAATGAGTGCCACCAATTGTTTCCGCAACTCCTCGTTTTCGTTCCTACGTAGCTACGCGGCCTATCTGGAAGAACGAGTGGGATGGGCCATTACCCAAGCCGGGAAACTCGAACCGGTTATGTTCAACGGCTTGGAGTTCGGATGTTACGAGGAGAAGTCGGTGGACATGGTGTTCCGTAAGTTGCCGAAATGTCAAGCGTTTATGGACAGGGTCTTGGATTGTTCACCGATTGATGTCGTGCCGCCGGCAGACAACTTGGCTCAAGCAGCCATGGGGAACACCTTAAAAGAGAGCTTCCAAGTTTACATTATGTACTGCGAAGTCATCGAGATTCTCATCAACATGTTCTTCGATTTGACGACGCCGGCCAGAACTTTGGCCTGCGACATACTCAAGAGGGCTTCACGACAAAGCAAAGAGCTTGCGGATCTGTACGAAACGTGCAAACGAGTCATGGAAAACAAGAATCTGGAGTATCCCAGAGTGCAGATAATCACCATGGATCATGTTTTGGCATTGGAACAATGCTCCAGCTTTATGTCAACGAGTTCGTCTACGGGTAAACAAAGCGAAAAGGAAGGGGACGAAGATGATACTAGTTCGTCGTCCAATCAATTCTCATTCACTCTTGAAACCAAAATAAGCAAGGTTTGGGTTGTTTTTGACGAAGACGATGGCGAATTGCAGGTGCCTGTTGGTATTGTTTAATGGCCTTTGTTAACGCCATTGTAGTTTACAGAAGCCAAATGATGATGACACAAGCAGATAACAAAATAGTGTCAGAAGATTGATGGTGGAGAAGCTCAACTCCTTGGATTCTCTGAATCAAATGAAGATGAATTTTAAAGTTATCATCCCCCAACAGAAGGTTAAATCGTGAAGATGATGGATCCACAGCAACAAAAAAAAAAAAAAACTTATCAAAGCTTTTGGTAGGTGCTTGCTAGAGAACAATGTTATTAAACTTGATTCGTTACGAGAATTTCATTAGAGTGAAATCGTTGTCAAATGGTGTGAATAGTCCTTCTAGTTGTGATAGAAAGTCATCTTGTATGGAAATTATCTTACTTTGGTTGCTTCAAGAAATTCCAATTTGGAATACATCATAATTCGATTCTATTACAAGTTCGTACACTATAACTAAAAGTTTATTTAGTCGAATTCATTGAGCGATTCTAGTAGTAGAAGAAAATGTTGTTCTCTTTAAAAATTCTAAATCAGAGTAGTTATATTTATAAATACAAGATATGTACACGTTATCAATAATTAAAAAATATTCTAAATAAATACTATCTTACAATCTCCCAAACTATTAAAAACATATTTAGTCATCTTAAGAAAAAGAAATGTTCTAGCTCTTTATTATTCCTAAACGTTCATTTTAGTCCATCAATTATAAAAAGTTAAATTTTAGTTCCTAAAAATAATATTTTGATCTAAAATTTAAAAGTTATAATTATATGGTTTAAATATTTTGGTTTAAACACCCTTTATATCCCTATCAATTTTAAAATTGAGAAAATTGGTCCCTCTTGAAAAAGAGGGTGATTTATTTAAATCAAAATATTTAAGTTAAATAACAATAACTTCAACGTTTCGGATCAAAATTTTAACTTATAAACTTACATGGACTAAAATATTTTTTTTATAGTAGAGAAACTAAATTAAACTTTTAGCAATAATATAACGGTTAAAATATTTTTTTTTATGTCAGAGAGATTAAAATAAAATTTTAAGTATAATACAATTACTTCTAATATACTTTAAACGCCATAGTTCATAAACAGAAGTTCTCATTAGACTTTTTGAGGAATTTGTAAGCTTCATATTTTCTATAGATTTCACTTAATATTTTCTATAGATTTAGGTACTTAACATGCAACAACCATTGGAGTAATTGAGGGCCAAACTTGTAGATCAAGATTTTTCAGTTTATTCTCAACTTTTCTTTGTTATCTTAGATTTAATGGATGAGATTCTTGTGTAGATTCGTGAATTTGATGAGTTGAACTGTGAATTTTAGATTTTCAAAGATAAACTTTCTTTTAATGAAATTTAGATTTATTGGTTGATTTTTCTCTCACTAGATTTGTATTCTGGAAGAGTTTATGCAAATTCTCACTTGATCTCCACAGCAACTATGTAGATAGCCAAGCAGCTTTGCTATGTCCCCAGTGGACCGGCCCAATATGTCATAAGCAGTTAATGCGACTTCCATCTAATCCGATTTAACTGCTAATAATGATCTTATTGAAGCTAGTGAAAAAAAGACTCATTTCCAAAGCATCGGTTGTTTACAAGTTTTGACCATTTTACAAATAAAACAAAATGAAATAAAGATGGACAACATATCTGAAAACTTGTAAAACAAAATCAAACACAAATCCGCGGTAGCCTTGCTGACTATCGGGGTTATGTTTAAAGAACCACCGGATCCAAAAAGGTTTGGATACTCATCATTCATCGAAGGCCATCTCTGCGGCTGCTTTTGGTGTTGCTCTTGTTCAATACCATCATCTCTGGAAACCGGTGAATCCGAACCTACTTTTAATTTGCTCACTGAAGGAAGATCCGCGGCTTCAGATCCTTTGTCCGGAGAATATAAACCAACACCTTGATGGCTGAAGGAGTTTTGATGATTAAAATTCGGGGTTTCCACGCTAGCTGGTTGTTGAGGAACATTTGTATGAAGGTGGTTCTCGGAGCTATCCTCCCTGACTTGGCCATTCTTTTTCTGCTTAAGTTCCGCAATTCTGATTTGTGCAAGACTGGCTGCTGCACGCTCAGCACTTCCAGCAGCTGACTGAGCAGCAACTAAAACATCCTCTAGATCAAAGTTGGTCTCACTTTCTGGTTTTAAAATAGCAGGTGTTGGATCGCTTGGTCTTGCAGGAATTGATGAAGCAGATATTGACGGAGGAGAAATGAAAGGCAGAAACGGTTTATTTTCTTTGGATGCAGCTGGATCATCGGGCATTTCACTTTCTTTAGTTGTATTTTCTTGCATCAATATATCGGGCTACAAAGGGAGCATTTGTAACACATGACCAGGAGCTCTAGAATGTCTACGTGAATGATCAATTTCAAGTTCAGGAGCAGATGATGAAGGTGGGTTAGTTACCGGTGCTGATGCAGCATTAGTGCTTGGCTGCAGTGACACATTTGGAACTTCAGGAAAATCTACCAGGTCAAAGTCGAAATCAGAATCAGAATCAGGCTGCTCGGTTTGGGTATGATCAGCAGCAGAAGTCGATGTTTCACCATGCTTCTCCACCGGAAGTGGTAACTTGGGTTCAGTCACAAACTGTGTTGGGCCATTATGACGAACAAAATAGGCATTAAAGATATGGGAACAGAGAACAAGAAAATCCAGTCCAAATTTTACTCACCAATAAATCTTCACGTGGTTTGAAAAACTCAGACTCGGTAGAAGTTGGATCCCATTCCAACTCATGCTCTTCAGCAATTTCTTTCAAAATCTTCAATTTTACTTCAGGTGAAGGAGCACGTATAGATAACAATTCTATCAACTGCATTTAGGAGGATGTCAACTGGAAGAATAAAAACATATGGGACAACTGGAAGAATAAAAATACTAACACGAAAATACACTATGAACTTTCAAATTTATAATACCTGATGATTAACACCACAATCCGGCCTCAGCTCAGTTGCAGCTAATACAAATTCCTTCCCGTACTTTGAAGTAAATAGCATTTGAACCTGCGGCAACTCTGTTAGATCGGCACATCTTGGTGCATCAAAACAAACGCTACTTATTGCTTCCTTCAAATCTAGAGGACATTCCCTAAAAAAGGATGATTCTTCAAATTATTATTCTACGAAATGCAGTGTGTTTTTAACTTATTAATTTATTTTGAGCAACTTTAAAAACTTATCAACTTCCTCTGTGAGGATATAAGAGATCCAAATTACACAAAAATTACAGCATTGTGCAAAACCGTCATTCATCAGGGCAACAAAGTCATCTCAAAAAGTGTGGAGAAGTTGACAGAATTGCATTGACATGAGGGAAAGTGCATTTAGTGAAGAACATCATGTGTACACTTCTACAATCTTTAGGTGATATGTGCTGTTTATAACCTAGGCAAAGATTGACCTACCTCCAAAAAGGTGCTAATGCTTCATGTATGAAATTACCAAAGGCAGCCCGAGATTCTAATATCAGCATGGAAATGCATAGGAGAAAGGTATTATTAGAAGTATACTATTATATAGAAATACTAAACATTCAATGAAACCATATTGAAGATGATATTAATTATTACAGCAGTTCATCAACTTCTAAATAATGAAACCATATCAAACATAAAGATATAATCTTCAATCTAAAGAATTAGGTCAAACCAACCTCCAAAAAGGTGCTAATGCTTCATGTATGAAATTACCAAAGGCAGCCCAAGACTTTAATATCGGCATGGCAATGCATAGGAGAAAGGTATTATGGGAAGTATACTATCATATAGAAATATTAAACATTCAATGAAACCATATTGAGGATGATATTACAGCAGTTCATCAACTCCTGAATAATGAAACCATATCGAACATAAAGATATAGTCTTCAATCTAAAGAATTAGGTCAGACCTAAAGATTGACCAATCCCCAAAAAGGTGCTAATTCTTCGTGTATGAAATTACCAAAGGCAGCCAGATTTTAATATCGGCATGGCAAATGGCAATGCATAGGAGAAAGGTATTATGAGAAGTATACTGTTATATAGAAATATTAAACATTCAATGAAACCATATTGAAGATGATATTACAGCAGTTCATCAACTCCTAAATAATGAAACCATATCAAACATAAAGATATAGCCTTCAATCTAAAGAATTAGGTCAAACTACTTTTCCAATCAACTACCAAAGCCTTTCTACAAATATTTGGTCCCATCCTTCAATCTAAAGCTGATATCCCCTACAATGCAAAATTCATCCTACCAAACTGGTTCAGACCCCAAGCAACTGAGTTAAATTAAAAAATATTAATAAATAAAAAGATAAGATTCCAAAAATTTCAAGCGATAACCTTTGAACCTCTATGATAGGAAGCCGGACAGCAATAAGCTTGCAAAACATCTCGAGGATCTCCTGAGCAACCATAATGTTTTCTTCCCTTATTATATGCTCCACCTGAAATATAAACCCCAAGCATTGCATCATATGAAACTATCAACTCGTTTACAAGGCAGCGCTAAAAAGAATTTGAATGCCTTCTAAAAACAGCAAATTCAGAATGTACGAAAAAAATTAAGTCACTTCCCTAAATAATAAAAACAACATATTTAGATTATCAACTGCAGATATTTGCACTTCAGTAAATAATTAATTTTAAATAAACATATATTTAAAGAAATCTGACTAAAGAAGAAGCAATAACATACTCGAATTCGAGCAGTAGCTTCTTGTCCAGTCTCAAGAAGCTTAGCAATTTCGCGGCGCATCTGCTTTCTCTGAATCTCTCTCCTGTTCCTTAATAGCTTAATCCGCGGAATTGTTAACTACAGTAAAGTTTTGCTGCATATTCCACCCGAACAAAAGAGATCAAAATTGAAACAAATTAAGCTAAATATTCAAAATTGATCAGACTAATAATTATGAAAGAGTAAAAAGAAAATAATTCATCAAACAAGATTAAGAAGAAAAATCGATGAATTGAAGATTAAAGGTAAACATGAATATGAGTATAATAAGAAATGAAATGAAACTGGGGGGGGGAATACCATTTAGCAGCTTTGAAGCCTTTGTTGAAGAACTAATCGAGCATAGCTATGATGCTAAAACGAGATCGCAGAAATAAAAAAATGAAAAAAAGTACAGTTTAAAGGGTTTTGGTACTTATGGACAACAGGAAGAGGAGTAAATTAACTATTATTTAAAATTTTAATTAACATAATATATTTCAATTTCATCTATTTTAATTTATAATTTTAATTTGGGTAAATTACATAAATGGTCTTATAATTATATGAAATTACTTTTTTGAGTCCCCCAACTATTAAAAATTATATAACGATCACCCAACTATTTATATGTTCTAAACTCGTTATTTTCTGTTAAAATAAACTACTATAGTTGGACATTAACTTGTTGACTAATATATAATAAAATATGATCCCATAACAGTTTGAGTTTTATTTTGTGGATTAACTTTTCGTTTACATTATGTCGTCGAGTAAATGCTTGAAATATTACGTTGTCGAACTAGTGCTTGAAAACAATAATAGTGTATGTATCCATATCATCATATTAACGTTTCGCTCATACAACAGTTAAAATTTTAATGAAAAAATATAAGTTTATAATATATAAATAATTAAATAATTATTTTATAAATTTTAATAATAAAAAATTCAACAAAGTAATATCCAAATACCGGTTATATAATTTTATCGATTTTAATTAATAGATTGGATAAATAGTGGTAAGTGATATAATTGGATTAGAACAGAAAAATAGATTTTTAATTATTTGTTGTTTACGAGTATAGGACGCGTGGTCTCGTCGACGTCGTTGCAATTTGCAAAGCAGATTGCTTTTGTACTAAGTCATTTATTTTAACGCTTTGAATAAATAAATAAATAGATGTCAGCGAGCATGTTGAATCAGTCGGAAGTCTGTGTTTCGCGTCAGGATGGGGACACCAAAGCTGACAGATATCAAAATGACGGGTTGGATTTTTAGAAATTTAACGTTATATTACCGAATTATTTTTTAACAACAACTGGTAATTTGACTGAATCATTTGGGTTAGATTGGCCCAAATTAGGTCAAAATAATCTATTTCGGCTCAAAATTCTGGGCCACCTTAAGATTTGAAATTTTAGGGTAGTTTCGATACTCTAGCATTTTTTCCAAGGGTTTTTCAAAGTCTGAACAATAAATTCAAAATTCTTATAAAAAAACATGGATTTCATATGTTCTGGTCTCGTGTTTTGATACTCAAGCCTCAAGTTTCGATATTTTCTAGGAAAATTATTTAAGTTGACACTCCAAAACGATCCAAATTCAATCTTACCCTACACTTCAAATAAGCATGTTAGCCCCTTTAAATACCGCAAAACATATATGTATATACCACAAGCCATTATAGGAGTTTTCATAAATCTTGCTAAGCTACTATAAATACAACAAACATCATATTAAGCAACCAAACAATCAAATTATACCTATTCATAAACACTTCAAGTTATGTGAGTATTTATAAATGATTTCAAGCAAGAATAACCTTAAACTATATCTCCACAACCTTAACTTTGGAGAATTTGTCAGCATCTCTAGCAACTCAAATCAAGCAAAATAATGATTCTATATGATATCTTTCATGCTAGAATGTAAAGATAAACTTAAAAATGCAAATGAAAATGAAGAAAATATTGAAAATAATTCATTTCGTAGACTCCACCTAAATTCTGATTTTTTAAACTATCATTTTTAGAGCTCTTGAACTCATTTTAAAGGTCATGAAAAGAGGAAAAAGACGAATACTTTTGGATGCCTTGATGGATGGTATAACTTCATAAAGTTATCAAACATTTGGTGCAATTTTGTTCCACTAAAATGGGGGTAATTATCCTATAGGATGAAATCGTCAGTTAACTAACGAGTAAACCATGTTGTTGATGTAATATTTGCGCATGTGTTTAATTATTAATGTGATATATATCACATTACCTAAAGTGATGATATAGCATGTATCATGTAACTCAAAGTGATGACGTGATATTTCACTTCACCCAAAATGAAATCATGACGTGAGATGTGTCATGTCACTCAAAACAATGATGTAACATGTGCACATCAACAATTAAACACATATTAAAATGTTACATCAACGACATGCTTTTATTAACTAACGATTTCTATTTAGTAAAATTTGTTTTAACTAAAAATCGAAGATTTAAGGACTAAAATGTTCTAAAATAAATAATAATAGATAAAGTAACCATTTATACAAATATTAGAGATAATTTTATCATTATGTCCTAATTCAATGGAACCCATAAATTATATACATGATTGACTAAATAATTTATATCTATATAATTACACCTTAACCAAATACCATTTGACTTCCCAAACGTGTCCTAAACGAATTAGTTTATACGTTGACTAAAAAAAGACTTTTTTTTTAATTTATCTCATTATCAATTTAATCACATGCAATACTGCCAATTCATATATATCAAGGGCCAAACTAATTGATTGGATAATTTTTTTTAGTTAATCGTTGGTTATTTTTAGATTTGACCTCTCAACGGTTATTTTTTTTTTCAAATTTTGGTTATCAGTTAATCCAATTTAATTAACCGAATTAATTGATTGATAGAAAATATTAAACATATTATTTATATACTACTTAGCTTTAGAATATAAATTTTTTTAGTTAAGTCGATTATTTCGGTTAAAACCGACATTTAAATATCGCTAATAAAAATATTTTTTAATGTAGTGATTGTTGTTATTTTAAAAATAGAAGAATTATAATAAATTTCGATTAATTTAACTTTATTCGGATGGATTAATTATTTTTTTTAAATTCGGTTCAATTAACTATTAGAAGAAGAAAAAATTGACTAATAAATTTTGAATAGTTCGATTCAATTGGTTAACTTAACTTCAGATTGAACACCTCCATACTCAAGTGAATATCAGCCACATAAAATAGACGTGAGACTCGGATCAAAATGCAAAAATTTAGAAATCACATGAATGAACATCAGGTGAGAATTGAGACAAAACATGTTATCCAAAGCCCAAGCATTTCATTCCACGTCAGCATCATAATCTGCCATGTAAGCAACGTCCTCCTATCAGATTCCAGCATCAGATTTCACGTCTTCCACTGCCAACCAATGAGAGCACGAGAACTACAATCCTGAGTGGCTTCCCTCGTCCACCAGCTCTTGCTTATTAGTATCTATCCCCATCCCCCCCATTCCCCACGACTATTACCTTGTCACTCTATTGTTCGTAAACCAAGCTTCCGACATGGCCTCGTTAGCAGCTTCCACAGCTGCCGCCTCCCTCGGCGTCTCCGAAATGCTCAAAAACCCTCTCAATTGCAGTGGTGGAGCTAGGTCGTCGCCTCCCACACCATCCAACTCCGGCGCTCTCAAGACCGTCGCTCTTTTCTCCAAGAAGAAGGCCGCACCTCCAAAGCCCAAGGCTGCTGCAGTCGCCCCTGCCGACGAAGAGCTGGCTAAGTGGTATGGTAAGTTGATCAACATTCTTTTCGTTTATCGTATGAATAAGCAAATTGTACGACAAAAAATGAAAAGATGCATTTATATTCAAACAGGTCCCGACAGAAGGATTTTCTTGCCGGAAGGGCTGTTGGACAGATCGGAGATCCCAGAGTATTTGACCGGAGAAGTGCCAGGAGAGTGAGTACAGATTATGATTAAATCAAGTTATATGATACTTGTTTGATAAAATAATTAAGCTGTTGTTGCTTTGCTTTCATGTGCATATGTTTCATCTAGCTATGGATACGATCCTTTTGGTCTGAGCAAGAACCCAGAAAACTTTGCAAAGTAAGTTTAGTTTCTGATTTTTACAACTCTCATTTAATAAAGGACAATTTCCATTTTTTATCTTTTTATTATGAACAAATCTCCGATTTAATCCCCATACATTTGTTAATCCAAATAATTAACACCTTCGGAATACAGATATCAAGCATATGAGTTAATACACGCAAGGTGGGCAATGCTTGGTGCTGCAGGGTTCATTATCCCTGAAGCCTTTAACAAATATGGAGCAAACTGCGGCCCTGAAGCCGTTTGGTTCAAGGTTAATTTAACTCTCTCACTTTCAAATTTCAATTAATTCATCGTTAAAATCCCAAATTATGTAAATAATTTGATCTGTTGATAATTTGCAGACCGGAGCTCTTCTCTTGGACGGTAACACCTTGAACTACTTCGGGAAGAACATCCCTATCAACCTTGTTGTTGCTGTGATCGCTGAGGTCGTCCTCGTTGGTGGCGCTGAATATTACAGAATCATCAATGGCTTGGTATAGATTCCACTTTTATATTATAAATGATCATATTTTACTACCAAAAGCAGAACATTATATTATTATGATTCCTCTTGCTGCAGGATTTGGAGGACAAGCTTCACCCTGGTGGTCCATTTGACCCACTTGGGCTAGCCAAGGACCCTGACCAGGCTGCTCTGCTGAAGGTGAAAGAGATCAAGAATGGTCGGCTCGCGATGTTTGCCATGTTGGGCTTCTTCCTCCAAGCTTATGTGACCGGAGAAGGTCCGGTCGAGAACCTTGCGAAGCACCTCAGCGATCCTTTTGGCAACAACTTGCTTACTGTCATTGCAGGAACTGCTGAAAGAGTTCCCACCCTCTGATTCTGTTATCTTTGTCCCCGAGTTGCTGCTGCTTTTTATGCACTTTGTTGTACATCAAACTTATTGGACAATTCCCAAGCACTTGAACTTTGAAGGATTTAACCTCAAATTTGAAGTTTATCTTCCATTTCACTACATTCATATATAATTAAAATAACATTATGACAATAAATACTATCAAAATATAAATTAATTCAATATTTTATAAAAAATATTAACATATAATGTAAAAGGGAAATTAAAATTGGGAAAAATATTTTTATAAAATTAATACAATTAGATAATATTAAAATTAATTATAAATATAAAAAATATTTTAATCATAACATTATTTTTTATTATTTACTCTTTTTAGAACATGAATAATAAAAGAATAATGAGAAAAAATAAAAAATGAAAGAAATAAGAATAATGACAAAAAATATATTTTATTCAAAAAGTAGTAACACACGTACATGTCTAGGACATATTTTCACAAGCAACCAAAATATGACAATATATGTGTTACCGTGTATACATTTTTCTTTAATCATTGGCCAATGAGTGCATACCTTAAAATATTATATTTATATATTTTAAATATATATAAACAATGTTAGATTTGATAATATCGTGGTTAAATTTGTTGATTTTGAAATATCAAAGATAAATCTTGAATTTGGTCCAAGTCATGTAGTTCGACAATCAAATACAACTTTAGATACCATGGTATCGAGTATTTTAGAAGGCAACATTTGTCTTTGATTAAGTATTTATAATTCTATCATTCATCAAATTATAAATATAATTTAGGATATCTTATGACAAAAGTAATATAATTGATCATTTAATTTTGTGTCATACTTTATAAAATAATTGTACAATATATATGTGTGCCCACAATGATAAATTTTAATCCAATAAGTTCATGTTGATGACGGGGGACGATAATTCTTGTTTTAGTAATTTTTTTTATTGTCTCATTTATTTATGTTTTAAAAAAAATTACTTTTAACATTCACATCAATATATCTCATCATTATAACTGTGAATTTTCTTATAAGTTAAAATTATTTTTAGAATGTTTTCATTTTATTAAAATATTTTCTTCCTTTTTACTTCATTTAGTCTTGTATATTTTTTAGTTGTTATGACTTATAATCTATACAAATCATACTTGAAAGTTGGAGTTTTCTTTATCTCTAAAAGTTTATAACGAGATTATACTTTTGGATGATATTTTTGTCTATTATTTTTATTTGATGCTCTTGATTTTTTTTTGGTTTATGTTGATATTTTTTCTTTTAGATTTTCCCTTCTATGCTTTTACAAATCCTTTTTGGATTGTCTTTTGTCATGTCATTAGGAAATCTATCCATTTGGTATTGTTCTTTTTAGAATTTTAGGTTTGAGTAGCTGTATAAATCACTCTAGACTATTATATATATACCTTTTTTTTTTCTATGAGAGACAAATAGAAATAAATGAAATTGAGAAAATTTGGATGAAACAATAAAAGAAAAGAGTGAAATGGGAGATGGAGTTGGGCCTGCAGCCACATAGCCCAATACTCAGAGCATATATAAATGTATAAATTAGTTGGTGGGAATTGAACGTGCTACCAGTAGAAATGAAACCATCGGTTGGAAGAAGGCGCAGCCATGGAACCCCTCTGTTTAAATTTTCTTCTTTCTATTCAAGGCTTCGTTTTCATTCTCATTCTTCTTGCTTTCATCGCCATTTTGCCTCCCCTTTTCTTCCACTTCAGGCTCCGCCGTTTTCATCAGGTTCCAATACCAATCCCTTATTTTCCCGAATTCGCCGATTTTCTAATTTTGATCAGGATAGGAGTTGTCTCAAATTTTTTTATTTTATGCACCGATAAATTCAAGATGTGGTTGTTTACGAGCAATTATTCCCATTTGATTTGATTTGATTTGATTTTTTTAAATTTTATTTTGAAATTCCTTCCTAGATGACATCGACATTGGATAGGTGAAGGCTTTCTGAATTAATTGCATCATTTGATTTTTTTTTACATGTGAAAACATTGTAGCAAATTTTGAGAAACTAATACTACAATAAAGATCTGTCTTTCAAATAAAGAATTATGTGTGTGTATATATCTTAGCAAGTCCAGGAAATTTCTCCAATTAACTTCTATGTGATGATATTTGCTTGTGAACATTCGAGCTTGTGTAATATCTTTCATTATGTACACTGGACATGCAGTTAATCTATTTTCTAACTCTTTTTCATGTTTTTATGGCTTTGTGTTATTAATTATTTGAGTCACTGCTCGTGACTGAACCATTCGGAAATGTTTCCCATGCTATAAATCTTTGATTTGATATATATTAATCTAATCACTATGTGTTATAAATGAAAAGCATGAACATATAAATATGTAATTGCTTCAGAAATTAGGTCTATGTTTTATCTTCTTTTCATTTAGTCACGGTGAAGATGGTGGTAGGTATTATGGCTAGTTGGAGAGCAGTGTCTAGGAAACGCAGGAACAACTTAGTTTGGACAATGGTGCCGCTTTATTTACTTTGGTGTTTGTGGGGTGAGAGATATAGTAGAGCATTTGATCCAGAGCAGCGTTATGTTCTTAACTCAAAGGCCCAGGTTTTAAGGAAATTTTTTCTTCTTGTTGATTTACATATTTTCTTACTTTTCTGTATTCTTTTCCCCTTGCGGTTTATTTCAGTGGTAAAATTTCAGGCGTGATTGGTGCTTTCCTTTTAGTTTAAGCTTGCCTTGTTATCTCTCTTTCTCTGCACTTTTCTGTACTTCCTGTCTGTTTAATTTGTTTGTTATCATTAAAAGGTGTAAAAGCATATCATAATTTGCATATTCCCTAGATTTTAAGGTTACCTTTGTTTCCTCCAATCAAATTAATATGCAATCAGTAAGGCTGTTTGTTAAACGCTTACACTTTTTGCTAAGTGCAGGGATTTACTTTACTGAATTTCATGTTAAACCTAAACATGGAGGAATCAAACGTAAAATAGAGGTTGATACTTGATATAATTGTATGCATGTGCTCTAAATTTTCAAGGTTATTCTACTTGGTTGATGTTCACTATATGATAATATTGGATGGGCTGCTAAATGATTTAAATATATTATTGTTTCTAAATATTGAAGCATATGGCTTCTGGATACTCATTAAATATTTTTTTTTACAATTCTAACTAAGTCAATTTGTTTAATTCCTCGGTTAAAGGGGATACTTGTCAAATTTATAGGTCCTCAATTACTAGTACGACTTTAATATTATTTTTATCTTGCAGACGCAATTAAGCAAGTGTGGTTGGCTGAACAATCCTCCCCTTGTGTGTGCTCATGGTGGTGACTCAACTAATGCCTTCCCAAACACGGTGAGCATCTCTTCCTTTCTGTAATTGCTTTAGTTAGCTATTTTGCTTGGATTTCAAAAGACAAACTAAAGCTATAAAATTTGATTGCTTATACATCTTAGGGGGATATAATGATCTTGTTTCATACTGTACCTGGTTTCAAGCTTCCTTCGCTTTTTTCTCTTTTTGTGCCTTAGAACTTGAAATTATGCTAATGCTTGGCCAAGGCTAAATTAGCACAAGTTAAATCCTTATAACACATGATGAACTGGCTATGTAGATTACGATGACATTAAATTGATCATGCTTTTTTGTAACTTTTGGGATCTTAGTATTATTCTTGATTGATCTGTCTCTCTTTTATTTTGAGCAGATGTCTGCATATGGTTTTGCTCTTCGTTCTCAAGTAGATTGCATTGAAATTGACATCTCTCGCTCATCAGATGGAGTTTTGTTTGCACTTCATGACAGGTATTTTCATCTCATAATCATATGAGAACTTCCATAAAGGATGTGGTTTTCTCATTCATGTGTACTTTACTTCCATGAATGGTCTCAGTAGTTTTCTTAAATGCTGTGGTCAGATCATATAGAAATATTTTAAAAAACCCAATGCATGTGCTGAAAATTTGACATTCAAGGGTGTGATTGTTCCACATAATTTATTTTTTTCAGAAAATGTTTTTCCGGAAAATATGAAGATTTTCCAGAAAGTAAAGATATTTTGATGTTTGGAAAATGCGGAAAACATTTTATAGAAGTCATTTTCAGTGAAACAAACAAACCCTAAAAAGTAATCAACATCTTTTCATTTATACTCAATGTTGCTATGTCCAAGTCTTCTCATATTTTTATGTTTATCTTCATGTGCCACCTAATTTGTCATATTGTCTCATATAATTTGGTGGACTAAACATTAGATTAATACTATCATACAGGCATACATTCAGTTCTGGACATGGTTTTGGATTTTTCCTTACAGCTATACTGATTCTGATTTATTAGATTGCTGCATATTGGTGGGAGTTTGAAACAATGTTTTCTAATTACTTGATTTATTTGCAACATTATGACTCTTTATTCCTTTTGCCAACTCAAAAAATGGTGATTCATTTTTCTTTTCATCATTGCTGATTTTCTAGAGTGACGTGTTAAGGAAAAACATTTACTAGTAATCTAAGTGACTTTTTAAGTAAGCCGAAAGTGCATTTTGTGGGTGGGTAGTATTACTATTAGGAGTGCTTAACAAATTAACAAAATTATTTGTGTGTAATACTTGATGAAATAATTCCTTAGTCTTGTTGGAGTACAAATCTGGAATTTCTTCCTGCATCTGTATTGCAAGCTTATATTTCAGCTATATGGATACTTGATTTTTACGTTACACAGGCAGGGATTTGCAGCGAATATCTGGTAACAGCACTTCTAAAGTTGGGCACTTGAGATCAAACGAGGTGAAAATATTTCTGAATTGACTCTTATTTGGCTCCGTTGAGTTCTAAGGAATCCATTTGTACATGTATGACATATGTAACCTAATAATTGTGCTTTATGTATGTCATACATACAAGGAGCGAGACACAAACCAGAAAGAAAAAAAATAGTCAATTGAATTAAGATGTTTTCATTTCTATCTGATTTGACTGTTTATTTTGTTGTTGTTAATATTTTTATTTTCTGGCATGCAGTCTCCCCTTACTAATTATGATATTAAAATTTTAGGCTAAAGTACACAAATGGTCCCTCGACTGTAGAGCATTGTTTTATTGAGTCCCTCGACTATTAAAAGTTACAAAATGGTTCCTTGACTATATAGTGTTGCTTTATTGAGTCCCTCGACTATATAAAAGTTACAAAATGGTCATCCGACTATTCATATATTCCAAACTCGTCTTTTTCGCTTAAAAGATTGACGGATTGACAACAACCTGAGTTGAACGTTAACCCTCTTATTGTGATTTGATAAAATCTGATTCCAAATTCTCAAACGATTATCATATCTCAGCCAACAAGTTAACATTCAGCTCAGACTGTCGTCAATTTTTTAATGAAAAATGATGAGTTTGGAACATATGAGTAATTGGGTGATCATTTTGTAACTTTTAATAGTGGAGGACTCAACAAAGCAACACCCTATAGTCGGGGACCATTTGTGTACTTTACTCAAAATTTTGATGGTTTTTCCTTGTAAAATATTGGATTGGAGAAAATGTGCTTCCCTTTGGCTTAAGCTAGGAAATATTAATTTCTTGAAGAATTGCTTGATCACATAATATTTCAGTCTGAACAAGAAGATTCAATTTAACTCGTGAAGAATTCTATCTATGTATGAGGTCCTAATTGATTAGTTGGTTTTAAATTTTTTATTGGAAAAAATATGCTTTTTCATGATAGTAGATAGTATGATATATATATATATATATTTATGATATTGGGTGTATGAACTATGAAGAGGCGAAGCTCCACCTTCTCTCTAAAAATTTAGGCTTTTTCAAAAATTTCTTTATTTATCCCCTTCGAATCATTTAGATGGCGAGCCAGTTGAGAAGATCTGGTGGGAAGAATTGCGTTACAGTTATTATTTTCAATATTCCAGATTGTCTTCATTATCAAGGTCTTAGGTTATTGTTCGATAAATATGGCGAGGTGGTCGATTCTTTCATCCCTAGCAAAAGAAGCAAGGGAGGTAGCAAATTCGGTTTTGTCCGATTTTCTAGTGTGGAGGACGCGAGGAGGGCTATCATCTGTGCCGATAGATCTTGGATTCAAGATAAAAAGGTTAGATTTTTCATGGCGAGATTTCAACCTCGTGATGCTTTTTGGAGGAAAAAGTTTTCTGGTTCAAATTCTGCTGTGGTCAAGAGTAGTGAGGCGGATGTTAAAGAGGTGCCCATTATTGGTGTAGTTGACGAGGATAAGCTAATTACTCTTAGAGATAGTTTGGTTGGTTGGTGCAGAAAATTTATAAAAATGAAAGAGCTAGCTGCTATTATGCACAAGGAAGGCATATTAGGCCCGAAAATTATGAGGTTAAGTGGTTTAGCTATTTTGATCATAATTGAAGATGAAGAGAGTAGAGACTATACTCTAAAAAATCAGATTGGAGCGTTGAATAAATGCTTTGACAAAGTGGATTTGTGGTCGGAAAACTTTCAGTGTAGCAGCCGACGGGCATGGTTATCGTGTAGAGGGATCCCACCGTTTGTGTGGTGCCATTCAACTTTCAGAAACATTGCAGAAAAATGGGGAGCTCTTATCTCCATTGACATAGGAACCTTTAATCCTGGCTCGTTTGATAGGGCCTGTTTTCATATCATTACGAACCGCAAAGATCGAGTGGAAGAATCATGTGTTTTGAAAGTCGGGGAACAGTCTTTTACAGTATTTGTTTATGAGTTTGAACCTTGCTTTAGCCCAGATTCCGTCTGGGTTGATTCGTCTGTGTTGGAAACGTCAGTTGCCTCCCCATTGCCCACGGAGGGGGAGCTTATTGGTGTCTCGCCAGTTAAGCCTTCCGAGTTGGTGGTAGATGCTGGAACGTTTTCTCGAGTTAATCTTGATTCCACTAATATTAAGGAAGCTCAGCTAGAAACTCGAGCGTGTTTTGAAGGCACGCATACTGGTGGTGGAACGTGTGGTTCAGGTGCCGAGGAAGTAGGAATTGGTCCTTGTTCCGATGAGGTATGGGCTGTGGAAGTTGTGTCCCTGACAGTCCGTTACGGGATAGCTGCGCATGGGTCTTCTTTGGAGGTAGCTAAGGGGGCGCAAGTGGGGTCTAATGTGCATGGGCATAAGCTGCCGTTTTGTGATAACCCGACAAATTGTAATGGGGCATCTACGCTTGGTTCAGTTGGCCAGAGGAGTGCAGATCTTAATATTTTGGAGGGAGCTAGTGGGTTACACGTGGGCTCAGGTTTGGATGTGTGTGATGCTAGAGTTGATAGTGCATTTTCGAAAGATGGGCAACACATGTTTCTTGATGTTAGTGGTAGGCGTTTGGCTCCAATTAGAAATGTTGGTTCACGACAGACCAAGGTATTATTAAATAGTAATAGGTTCTTGGAGATCCCGAATGTTAGTTCGGTTAGTGGGACAATTGTGCAGGATTATGCCTGTCAAACTGGTGGCACTTTGCATGCCTTGGAGAGTGTTAGTAGGGTGCACGTTGGGTGGGTCTAAGGATGTAAGTAAAGATAACGTGCAGCTGCCAGTTGTGCCGTCCTCGACCATGCCTACTGATGGAACTAAGGTATTGGTGGTACACGAGGAAGTGCCTGCTGGTCAGGGGATGGGGCTATCGAAATCCGAGAAAGTGGATGGGCGTCAGAAACTAAGAGATTTGGAGGAGAGAAATGCTATATTTAGTTCTCTCCGAAATTTTCAAGAAAAATTCTCGGCCATCAAAGGAACCCTCGTTAGAGTCAAAGCAAGAATTCTCAGAGGAAGGTGCATCGAGAGGAAGTTTTTTATGATCTTGAAGGCTCTAAAGTTGGAGGTTCGAATGGTCTATGTCGTCAAGTCGAGCTAGAAGAGGCAACTAGGCGGAAGAGGCAGTAAGGCGGAATAAGATTCTTGTACTCTTCGTGTGGAAGTTCAGGGCTATTTGTTTTTGATCTTGGATTTTATGGTTTGAGTCAGCTGTGATATTCGGCCTCTACTTTAGTTGTTTTGTTTATGTGTTGGTTTTCGGGCTTAGTTTAGGTGTTAAGTCTGGTCAATCATTTTTGTGACTGTTGTTATAGCTTAGATGGATTTCGCTATGTTAGTGTTGCTGTATAGGGTTTTTCCGGCTGTTTTGGGTTGTTTGTTTATGTTAGGGAGGCGATTCTGGTTGTATCTTATGTTTCTTATGGTTAATGAAATCTTAAGGCACTCTTTTCCTCCTTCCGCTGATTAAGAAGCTTTTCTACAAGCTCCTTTAATCAAGAAGGAGGTTTTTAACGACGCCTTCAATTCCTATCAAAAAAAAAAAAAAAACTATGAAGAGGCTTTAAGCCTTTAACATTGTTTGTTCTGTATTATTTTCCGTTTCTGAAAATATAAATTTACTATTGGAGCTTAGTTAGTTTGTCCTTGTATGTTATGTGATTATTACAGTCGCAGCAATAGCTGGAAAATATCAGCAAGAGATGCTGTGTTGTATTTAAATGTTTCATTTTTATTTGCTTTGAAAAAAGGCACGGTTAAACATTTGAAAAGTTATTTTAACAGCTATAGGTGATGCTTTACCTTTCCCTCTACCTAGTTCTGTTCGCATGTTTTCATGCTCATGTATATTTTTAAACAGATTGTCTTGTTATGAAAACAAAAAGGTTAAATAGCCTGTAAAATAAACTTGAATTGTTGCCTTCTCATTTTAATGACTTTTCCTTTTCTTGTTCTTCCTTTAAGTAAATTGGATTTATTTATTTTGTTTCTTGAATTTATTTTTCAAACGTACATGTTCTTTGAATTGGAAATAAGATAAGGACCTACATATCTAGGGAATACTTGTCATCATTCAACACCAACTCATTAGCCCATGCTATTCTATAGTTGTTAACGGTGTAGCAGTTAGTAACAAGACACTATGCTTTTCAAAATTTAAGAGCTCATAAGCTTTCACACCCTAACACACATTTTGTATAACAAGTTTCTTTGCCTCCACTTTGCACTTTTAATTTTTTCTGTGTATGCAAAATGATTACATTGTTCACCATTCGAACTTGATTGAATTTCAGCCTCCAAATTGGTCTCATTTTCATGAGTGTTTCTTTGAACTTGTTTTATAAATTGGCATGCTATTGCTTAAACTTCAAAGAAGTTCTAGTTGTTTAAGAAATACTAGAGATAATCTTAGTTAGCATCCAATAGATGATTGGTGCACTTTTCTTAGTTTTCTTATTTTAATAATTGTCTGGAGTTAATAATATCATATATGGGTTTTAAGTCCTTGTAAGGTAAGTGTCTTGCCAAAAAACTTGTCAACTGACGAGGTAAGTAGGTGAAAGAAACAAAAAACTTGATTTAGATAATTTATTTAGGTCAGAAGTTCTTTGGTGGATGCTTTTCCATTGTAATATTTATTTGTTCAGTAATTTTCAGTCGGTATCCATATAAAAAGACAAATGTCTAACTTTATTTTAAACATTCAAGATTTCTTGGTCCATTATAATAGTCCTATTAATATACTTCTAACAACTTATTTTTCGTCAGTTTTCATTGTTTTATTGTTTCGGGAATCCTGGAAAACAATTCTCCTTTTCTTTCTCTTTCTTCAGCCCCGTTTTCGTTCAAAATTTAACCATTTTTTCATAAAAGCCAGAATATGTTGTGGAAATGAGGATCTCCTAATTGGCTTGAGTCATATTTGTTCAGACTTTACTGAAGCGTGGAGAACTTGGAATTGTATTGATTTACGTAATTTTTAATAACGGTAAAAATTCTTATTTATTTTTCAAGAGAAAGACCTTGAATTTGGACCATATCTCCTTTTCTCGTAAGAAATTGAAATAGAATTTGAAAAATTAATCTTAGTTAATGGAGAAGTCATGGCAAATTAGTTCTTAGTATTCAATTTAATATGAACCATTTATTATGAAGTGAATATTTGTCTTTGTTAGCTTGATCGATCAAATGAATAATGTCAAGAGAGGGAGTGAATTGACTCTTTTAAAATTGTGGAAGCAATTGAAAAATAGAAATAATTTACACAATGATCTAGAGTGGTTTGATTTCTGAACCGAGTATACATACACTACCTTAGCTATCCACATTAAAATTTTTCTCAAATTCACTAAATTTTTTTACCTTTGAGTATAGGTGTAAACTTACAACAATCCCTTAAGGTTTATACCTTAGAACGCCCTCTCAAAGAGAAATACAAATTAACTAACTGGAAATTTCCTCAAAATGATTTAATGTTTGCAAAGATACTCTTTGATGTTGGTATATCTTCTCAAGGATGTTTGTCATGGTTGTGATGCTTGGGGCTTATTTTTATACCCTCTCTATGGTTACTAGCCATTTGGAGCCTTTGTGGATGCAAAAGGGCCGTTAGGAGCATTTATGACACAAGGGATCAATTAATAAATTTTCAAAAATATGATCGTTGCCAGCCAAGGGATTGATCCTTTGAGGGAAGGGATCGATTCTTATAGAAGGGACTTTAAATTATTTTTGAGATATTTAATTAATTCCATAGACATTTTTACAATTATTTGTTATGTCAAAATATTATAATTCAAACTTCAACAGTCTTCCACCTGAAGTTGTAATTAAGAAAAAACTAGAAAAGTATTCCAATGGAGGGGAGCTGGACCCCATGGTTGATTGGGTTTCTTTATGTTGGCGAGGTATGAATTTGATTGTCCCGTATAATTTTGTTTTTGCTTTAAAATGAAACAAGAAGGTATTTTACCACTAGCAGCAGTTAATGCATCTAACCTTTTGCACTAATTTTAGTTGTTCACTGATCCTTATTTAATTTTAATATTTTCCCAGAAAAAATGATAACCTACAATAAAGCAGAATGGTTCTTTTGTTTGTTAGTTATGTTCTTTTCAAATTTCAAATTTCTGTGGTTTACTGCCGTGACAGTTCAGAGTAATACTGATTTTCTTTAATCTTTTGCATGATTTATTATTGAAACTGTAAAATGTTAATCTCCAATTGAAGGGAAATTCCATGGGACCATTCTGGTTTTCTTATATCTATCTCATATAAGGAAAGCTGTTTATTAGTAATGTTGATTGAGATTGTATGTTTTGTTTTGTAGATAAAAGAACTAGATGTCTATCATCATTCTGGTAATTCAAAGATACCTACAATTGAAGATGCTTTGACGGTATGTTCAGGATAGTGTTTCATCTGCCATACTATATTCTACTATTGGTGGTTTCTTCTATCAAAAGGTAAATGATGAATATCTGATTATGGTTCATCCGGATAGTTGATATCAACATCAGTTAGGCAGGTGATTCTAGATGCCAAGGTGGGGCCTCCATTATATGAAAAGGGGCTTGCAAAAGATATTCTTTCCACTGTGAGTTATTTCCACTGCAGTTATTTTCTTTTATCTATTGTTCTGTCATGACTAGTTTTTCAATGTGATTGTGACACTGTATAATAGTTCATGAGGTTTTGTACAAGACAACGCATGGGAAGATTACAGTTTTACCTGCTTGAAAGTTGATTTAGGAAACTGTAGGAGACTGTCTGTCTATATCAATGGAAAAGATGAATTGAAATTTCCAAATAAATTTAAGTATAAATGCTTGAAGTATTATACTGTTTTATCGACCTAGATTTCTTAATTCTAGGCCATTTTGCTTAAAAGTTTTATTGTAAAAAATTTCAGGTTGAGAAGATTCGGTGCAAGAATTGCCTCATTTGGGCTAAAAGCGATAGTTTACTGAGGGACATAATCAAACTCTCGTCAGATGTTAAGGTGAGACGAATTGGACTGTTTTGAGTTATTTTGGATTTCCCCCCTATAAGAATAACTACTTTTGGAAGGGTTATTGCGATGCCTTATGAATGGCTATCTTACATTGGCATATTGTGACATGCTTGATGACAATCATATTTGGGCTATGGAGATGGGCAATAGCTGATTTGATTTGACTAATCCTTCCAATTCATTCAAATTTTGGCTTACTAAGAAGTCAGACCAGTTGTTTCAAACCTAGGATTCCAGCTACCATAGAGAAACACAAAGAACCCTTTACCTTGTGCAACACGTCCTTTCACATATGTGGCCTAGGAACTCGAACTCTTTCCCTTCTACTCGACTTTTGTTTCCTTCCTTTTTCCTTCTTTTCTCACTGACCAGTTCATCTGTGTTGCAAGTTCTCATAGATTTGTGTTGACATATTGTGCTTCATGTCATGTCTTTGTGAAATTATAGGATGTCTTGACTTTTCTTGCAGGATCCTAATTTGGCTTTTAGAAAAATATCAGTTCTGTATTACAATTCGTGAACTCAATATGGATACTGTCTAGGGGTGCTTTTGCTTTAATTGTGTTCCATCTCAACAAAGGCTATATAATGTGGGAGCCGTTAAACTTAGCTTCTAACCACTCACATTCAATCGGTTTGTGGATGAACTCACAGGTAGGCTACATTATTATGGCGGATCCCCATTCTGGGGCTCGAACTAGCTTATTTAGAATGAAAGGGGCCAAGGTGACAGGCGTATACCACCAATTGATTAATGAAAGATTGGTTAAGACTCTGCATGGGTATGTAACTCATATTGAGCTAACTATTGGTGTAATGTAATCAATGTTGTATACAGTATGCAATTGTGATCCATTGCTTGAGATGTTATGGTCTCAACAGGAGGGAGAAGAAGGTATATGCCTGGACCGTCGATGATGTTGAGTCCATGACGACGATGTTGCATGCGCATGCGGATGCCATTATTACTAGCAACCCCACTTTACTTCAACGTACCATGCAAGACAAAAGAACACAATGCCTTGAAGAAGGTTTTTCTTTAACACGATGACAATTCGTGTTTGTTTTTCAGTATTTGATGGTATATGCTGTAAACTAATCATGCAGAGAGTAGAATTTAAACCGTGAAGCGCCAATGCTACTTAATTATCGAAACAATAAATTTATCGATTTATATCATAGATTAAACTTTTAACATTTTTTCGGTACTATATGATTACATCACATGAATGAAACAGTAATATATGGGAAAAGTTAATTAATACTTGATTAAAAAAATGATTAGAATGTATAAACGTGGGAAATTTAGTATCTCGAGTTAAATCATAATATAAGAAAAAAATATGAATTCTATGTAAAAAAATAAAATAATTAAATTCAATAATAATTTTTTTATATGTTATTATATATATATATATATATAGTACTGTATTTTGCATATTCAAGATAAATTATCATAATTTGGAATGAGAAGATGAGAAAAGAAATATGGCGATTATGCTAAATTGATGCCTAATTACATCACAAGTATTATACTAAATTGTTCCTTTTATTAGTCTTTTCTTTGCCTCTGTTGCACTTAATCATCTAACGAACGAACCCATTTATTACGCAGCTAAAATTTCATACAATCACGTTCATTTATGAATTTATTTGAAAGTTATATATATATATTTAAAAATCTACTATTTTATCTTGTTTTTCACCAAATTAAATTAATGGGTAAGCTAAATATTTAATTACGTAGTTTTTTTACGGTTCTGTTTTAGTCATTATACTTTTATTTTTAAAATCATTCTTAAAGTTATGTTTTGATTCTGTTTTAGTCATCCGCTATTTAAAAAAATTACAAAATTGCTAGTATGATTTTTTATTATTATTCTTCAATGAAGATATAATATTATCTTATAGTGATATGTTAATATAACTTAATTTTTTAATAGCGGATGGCGAAAACAGAAATGAAAAATATAATTTTAGATATGATTTAAAAAAAAACAGTTAGGTGATCGAAATAAAATTATGGTAATAGTATGGTAACTAAATACATAGTTTACCCTAAATTAATTTCACTTCATCTCAAGTTGCAAACAAGCGGCTGCCTGTCGGTTAAGGAAAAACGGTGCTTTGCTCTCTTCTTCTTACCTATTTCCCACGTATTTTGTAAATAAAGAATCACAGTTTTTTTCCTATCATTATGGCAATGAAGGTTTGGCTCAACAAAAAGATCGTGGATCCTCTTCTCCAGATCCTCCGCAAGTAAGCTATACCTTACAATTTCATTCATATATTTCTATGTATAAATCTGATTGCTCATTGCTTTGCACTTACAGGGGAGCAGAACCCAGGCAGTTGGCCTTCTCTGCAGCGCTGGGGTTCACTTTGGGAATTTTTCCAATATGCGGTAATATTTCCCTTTTTTGGTTCTTTGTTTTTTCTTTTGATTGGTTGTTGATAATATTATCTGAAGCAAAATGAAAAATGCTGCAGGGGTTACAGTTTTGCTTTGTGGGATGGCAATAGCGTTGTTGGGATCTCATTGCCATTCTCCAACTGTCATGCTTGCTAACTTCTTGGCTACTCCGATCGAGTTGAGGTGATTTATTCTTCTGTTTTCATTCTAATTTTTTTGTTCCCCCTCCCTCCTTTTTTGGATTGCTAAGTTACTTTTATTTCACTTTGTTTTATCTATGGATGTATCTTCGTTGTCGTCTAGTCTGGTGGTGCCCTTCCTTCGCTTTGGTGAAATGTTATCTGGTGGACCTCATTTTCCCTTCACTTCTGATGCTTTGAAGAAAGTTTTGACTGGGCAAGCTTCGAGTGAACTCCTCTTTAGTATCGCCCGTGCTGTAAGTATCCATTTTCTACGCCTACCTTATTCCACTTCTTTTAATGATATGCTTGTCCCTCCTTGCACTTTATTCGATTCCATCTTCTTGATTTGGTTTTCCTAGATTGGCATGGCAATTTTGATATAATTGAATAATAAATTGTTAATTGAACCAAATTGAGCTTAGAAGCTTGAAATTTCAGTGATAGAAGGTTTCCCCAGAAACCCCTACTTTATTTGAATGGTGTATGGGCGAAAGTAGCAATCATGAATTAGTGTTGAATCAATTAGCCATCTGAATTTGTTAAGCTTATTCTTCTACCTTAACATGTTAATGTGTCCTCATCATCTATGTCTGATTGTATTTTCAATAATCAGGTAAGAGGCATGTGTCTATGTGATAATTGATTTTTCTTCCCAAGTTGTCTGAATGGAAATTTGCTTGCGTACACATGTTTTAATATGAAACATGGAAATGTTTTTGGTAAAGGTTTATATATTTGACTTTCTTGTGAGCATAAATCTCCAATCCCGTTGGCAGAAAATCAAGCATCATCTATGTGGCATTTATCATAACACTGTCTAGAAATAGAGATGAGTGTGAGCTTGTCATACTTGTTCATTTCTATGTGAGAAATTTAAAGATGATTTTTTCTTTATTTAAATTTTACTACTTTTTGAAGCGGCTAGTACGTTTCTATCCACCATTATAGGCTGTGTGATTATGTACGAGTGTATAATTAAATATTATTTTACCAATTGGTAAGTCTCTCATGTCTGCTGTTATCCTGTAGATATAGGGGATTGGCAAAACTCTATGCAAAATTGAACGCATTTTCTTAACATGAGTTTTCTTGTTTAGTTTATGCTGGAGCTTGTCCTGAACATAAAACAGAACATCATTCTTGATCTTCCAGCACATTGACTAAACTTATTTTTAAAAATGTTTACTGCCGATTCTTGGCTGACGGCTTAGCATGATATTTGTTTGTTGAGGTTTCATGATATGCAGCTGATGTTGCAAATAATTGGTGTTGTCAATGGTTTCCTCTCCTTTCATAGTTTAAATAAGGGTCAATTACATATTTTCTGCTTGAATTATAGCTAAATGTCAATTTGGCGTCTGAAGAAAATAAGTTTGCAAATACATACACCAACTTTCATTCCCTTGTGTAGACTGAACACCTCACAAACTCTGTTATTCAAATGGGGGGACATGATAAGAACTAGAAATTGGAGTTAGACAAATGGCACGCCGAATCATCTGTTGTTTGCCTCATCTTGATTAATAGAGTTATCTTAAGGTGCAATCTATTTAACGGAAGCAAAGATCGAGTGTCTAACTGCCAATTTTCAAACTTTAGGTACCAATTTGAATATTTGATCCATAGTTCAGGCTCCAAATGTGTCATTAATCTCATAAAGATGATACGCATCTTATTGTGAAGATCTATAAGGTTTATCCTATGTGCACAGGTTTTGCAACAAAAACTGAAATTTTATGATTTGAAAGTCTGCTGTGTGTGAGAGAGAGAACTTTGAAGAAAGGCTGAATCTATTAGATGCAGATTGTAAAGGATCTTGTAATTGAGAACATTATTTTAAGTTTGTTTTTAGGCGTTTTCCCCTCTTTAAAAAGTGTATTCATGGTATTCTATGATTGTTGCCACATCTCTTATCTGACATCGGCTTTAATGTTGAAGAGTCCAAAAACTATGCACCTATAGACAACCTATCCCAGAGTATAATTCGGTCATGATCATGAGAGATACAAAAATCGGAGAAGACGGAGGAGAATTGGGAAAATTGGAAATAGGGTTAGGGATTTCAAATGAGGAGATTGGTACTGCCAGCAGTGAAGGGAGTCATGGCAGCAACAACCAGCAGCACCTGCAAGGGAATCAAAATGTTAGATACAACTGTATTGCCAGTTGGTAAATGGGATAGGGTTGGTACAATATAAAGATATAAAGCAATGTACTAGGTAGGTCTTTCCTTATGATTGAAATGAATGAAATCTCAGTTTTCTTGAATTCCCTTTCTTCTCTTCTTTAATCTCTATTTTCTCTATTTTCTTCGATTACTCTTCTTCTATTTTCTTCGATTACTCTTCTTCTTTCGCAGTGTCATAACAATTGGTATCCAGAGCCACAACTCCTGACAAAGCAATCAAAACTATTATTTTAAATTCCCATAATCTTTTCATGCTATTGGTAGTCACTTCCGAGCTGCAACCTTCATATGTGCAACTAGTTAGAATTGTACCAGGGAATCTAATCTCAACATCCTCTTTGACTTCTACTTGATCTTTACTGCCTTTAGTGTTGGCTTCCCCTCCTTTTATGACAAATTCAGTTTCCCCCATTCTTTTTGTAGTGTAGTTTTTAACATTCTGCTCTTTTCTCCAAATTGACATTAGTATAGTTTGAAGTGGAAAGGGCCCTTTTTTACCCTATAATCTATATGCTACAAATACGATTATATATGCTTTTAGGTGATGGAATTTTATCAAAAGATGTCATTGTGGACTTTATGCAATTGCACACTAGTTGAGAGTTGAGACTTGTCTTATCAATGTAGAATTAAATTTAAAAACCATCCTATGGAAATTGTTGCAGTTGTTGGGATGGCTTGTATCATGACCTATTATTTTGGTCACACTCTACGCGATATTTTTGCCAATTTTCAAGTTTGTCGTCCCCAAGTTCGGGAGTGTTCCATTGAGCCCAAGGAAACAACATTATTCACATTCAGAAGTTGGGCTCAAGGCTAGGTAGGTTTGACTCTTGTTGTAACTTTGTATATTTCTTTCACAGAATGCATTGACAGGAAACTGCAATTATACATGTTTCTAGCCTGATAATATGATAACTCCGTAAAAATGTCATATTTGAGACCTTTTCAATTAAGTTATTGACTGTCTAAAAGCCCATTTAGGATCATATAGATGCATTTAGGAGCATATGGTTGCATGTGGTGAAATTTTGTTTGTCGCGACATTTTATTTTGTAATCAGTGCTGCATTATGGGGAAGATGTTTTTCTAGTGATGTGCAGGATTTGGGAGCAAGGAAAAGCAAAAGGGGAATACCGTGACAAAAGGAGACTGTTGAGCAAAATGCAAATGCCGAACTGGTTGGCATTTCGAGAGCGATTAAAACGAAAGAAATATATTTTTAGTAAGAGCCAGCTGTCACGGCATACAAAAGTGCTTTATGCAATCAGCATTAAAGGAGGGGTCAATTACCATCTTTGTACCAACTTTCACATAAAAAGAATAAACTTTAGTAAGAGTCAGTTGTCACGGCATAAAAAAGTGCTTTATGCAATCAACATTAAAGGAGGGGCCAATTACCATCTTTAACACAAAAACCCTAGGTTCATTCTCCCCTATAAATAGAAGATGAAGCCTGACTTTTTGAAAAAAAAGGGAGAGAGATTTTTAGACAGCCGCCAAGAGCCTAAAAATTCGGAGAAAAAGTTCTTCGTCAATTCCATTTGTCGTGGCATTCCTCCGTTGACAGGTTAGAGGGAGTGGCGTTCTAGGCGTCCGAGAAGAGCTAGTTCGCTAGGGGCAGTTCGTGGTGGTCGAGGAGAGCATCCAGCAGTGCACGTTGAAGGCTTTTCCTCCTTCCCTTAGTTATTTGCTTTCATATTTTGTTATTTGGGTTGTAAGGAACGAATGATACTTGCTTTGTGCTTGTTTATTTCGAACCCCACCATGAACTAAACCTATTTGGTGGGAGTTCATTTTGGATATTTAAGTTTTGCTTTAATGAATGATTGTTTTTCTATGTTATTAATTGTTTTGTTTATGGATCTTAATGCCTTAAGGTTGTAGGAGCTATAAGAGTAGCAATTCCTTAGGAGATTACTAAGTGTTCGAGAGAATATCTAAGTAGCACATCCTTAGTATTCGAGAGAAACTAGGGAGGAACCACATAAGCAAGGGGTTCTAGATAGTAACTAGGCCTAATCCACCTTAGAGATAAGGCTAGGATTTCATTCGACTAAAAGGAATTGTGCATGAGCGATAGGTTAGATGTTAATGCTGCCGCAAAAAGGTATTGCCCAGACATATCCTATTATCTGGACCAATAGGATCCCTGCAGTAGCTAACGCCAATCGGTTTTGCCAAGGCATCTTCAATCTGTCGAGTCCCTTAACTAGAGATAGCATAGGGCACCCTTAGTAAACTCTGTCGGGCAGTTAAGACATAGAAGTAAGACCATTCTGAGAAGTAAACTTAGATTTTCCTAAGTGACTCCTATCACTCATTCCCATAATAGCTTGTCGTGTGAGGAGTCTAAAGTTCTTATAAGCAAACCCAGTATTTACAGTTTATTTTGTCGTTACATTTTCAGTTGTTTATACTCAGCACGATTCAATTTGCCATAACATATCCATCTGCTACTACCTTATCACCATTCTATTTTCGCAACATCCATCTCATTTTGCCACAACATTATCATTTGTTTATACCATTATTAACTTTACTTAGGTGACAAAGTAAAGTGCCGTGACAAGTTTATTTGATTTCCCCCAATCCCTGTGGAGAACGATACTCACTCATCATTTTATTACTTGTTCGATTGTGTATATTTGCACACATATCCGCACCATTTATAGTACTCATACCGAGCGGACATAATACTTTGTTATATATAAGTGACTTCTGGGAGCTTGATCCATGAATAAAGAATGTAGTTTATGAGCTTTACTGTGTAGAGTATTGTTAGTGAGCTTGTATGCATCTGGATATGTATATTACATTACTTTATAGTATCATATTACAGTATGATATATTATTTTATAGTGCCATATTACAGCAGTGAAATTCTACTTGACTAATGGATAATGAGAAAGTTTGGTCGTTGCTGAAATTGATTTTCATATTTCAACTAAAAAAAACTAAAGAAAATATAAAAGACGTTATCATTGTAGCTCTATTAACTTTTTTTTTTTTTTGGAATTGGAATCTTGTGGATGTCCATCAACGAGATACTTGATGGTCGTATCTTTCTCTGTCATGGAATTAATCAGAAATTTGATTGCCAGTGGAAGAATGGTTGAAGTCAATGAAGAGGGACTTTGGAAAATATAAATATATATAGCCAATTAAACATCAATTCATGTTGGATAAGGATATATTCGATTTCTAAGGTTATTTAGATAATTTTAGAGCTTCGTATATTTTCTAATTAAATTAAAATTAAAATATTATTTTTTTCCGAATAAAAAGTTACTTTTATGTTAATTTAGGTCAAATAAGTAACTTGACCCTCAGACAAGTGAATGTTGGATATTTATAGTAAGAAGATAAGGTTGTGCAGTCCGTGGAATCTCCAGTGGGAATCCACAGCTAGCTGAGTAGAAAAAGGTTAAGCAAGATCCGGTGAAGAAGCACAAAACCAGGTCTGGTCTAGTATGTTCTGGTTCTTTCTCCAATACAGTTAGGGATTGATACATGATTTTATGTTAAGACGTGCGAATTTAAAAAATTATATTAAAACTTTAGACAGTACGGAATTATTAAATTTAGGAATACGAGATTAGGTCGTCAATTAAAAATATAAAAAATTATTTAGATTATATATGCATTTAGATGTTTTAGAGATGTGACCGCACCCCTCTTCCGGTCCATCCCTAAGCACAATACATGGCAGGCAGGCAGCAGCGGGATTTACCATTTGATTCGAACAAATATCACCTTCGTTACCTGACTGAACTCCTCCCAAGCTTCATAGCAGTGAAAAGAAAAGTGAAAAACAGAGTGTGTGATTGAATGCGTACTGTCTTTATTGGCGAGGAAAAAGCACATGGATTAATAATTCAAAGCCAAAGGGAGAGTTGTTTTGTTCCACATGGAAACATCCATGTGAAGCCATTTCTTTTCGTTTCTGCTCCATTTGGTCCCTTCACTGCTCGTTTTCACATAATAACCACGTTCAACACAACCACTTATATATATTTTAACATATAGTATATAAATAAATATAAGGAATAAAGAAATCGAGACAGATGGTGACGGATTGGTCGGTGTCGGAGTCTTGAAACTTTGAATTCCCAGAGTTGGAAGCAATAGGCAAATGATGGGACATGGGGCTCACAAATGTTTCCTTCAACAATAATTGTCAAACATAAATTTCATATTCCATTTATATAAAAAAGAAAGATCTTCCTCCTCTATAAATATAATCATTTTCCACAGAGAGATTTATTATTTCTGCAATACAAACAATGAAGGCCAAGTTGCCAGCACAATTCATCCTATTATGTCTCTTAACATTCCATCTATTTTCTTCTTCTTCAATGTTGCTGACGGGAAGGAGATCCCTAGATCAGATGCCATGGCCTCACCACCACAAAGACATATATCCCAATGCAAAGGTAATATTATACAAAAAATGGTTTTGGTTGTTGAGTATGGCAAAACAACTAAGGAATTGATCATGGTGTGCATGTATGCAGGTAACACTTGATGAATCTAATGAGCATACGGATGATGATGAGAATGTTAATTACCACAGAGATTATCATGGGGTCACTACTCATCCAACTCCAACCCCAAAACATCCCAAGCCATAGAATTTTATTTACGACTTATAAGCCTCTCATGTAAGCACTGCAATGATGCTCAAATATGTACCTCATCTGAAAATCAATACATGGTTGATTTTTTTCATCTAGCTAAGTTAATTGAAAGTATTCAAACTATTCAAAGATAACAAAAAGTGAAATGTAAAGAGAAAGATGGTTGGTAACAAGATGTTAATGATGTGAGATTTTTATATAAGATTGCATGAAAAAATCCCTTTCATTGTGTAACAATAACGGATGATATGCAGATGCAATCAAACAGAATGCAGAGACAACATTCCGTTCACATACTGCTTTCTGACCTGCTTATACTTTTCATGCAATGTCATATAGTTTGCAGTAACATCGTCGTATGATACCTCACTACAGAACTTCGATTTCCTATCCATGTACACATATCTTTTTGTGTTCGACATATACCGGGAACATATCTTTTATTCCTGTCGATTCGACTTCGCAATCCCAATCATGTCCTTCAACATTTTCCCCATCTTGATTCAGATGTCGCAACCATCTTATCCGTTGAAACGAGTCTACATTCCTCTCAATAGCTACTTCCACACTCTTCAATGCTTCCCAAAACCTCGACTTTCTGCTAATTTTGTCGATCAAATTGCTGAAAGTTGTTCTTTGGCATAGATCAAGCCAGCTATATGTGTCCGATTGCGAAACAGGGGCAGCTACCAAACATGCCTTCCGAAATGTAGGATCAGAGTTACCAATTAGACTGATAACTATATGCAGTAGCCTGATTGTAATGGCATTTAGAATTCCAGATAAAGACTTAAAAGAAGGATGACGATGATATTGAGTACGGTTCCAAGAAAACAATGCCACATGTATAAACCCCTCCCACCTGTGTAAATGAAGGAAATAGTGTATAAGTTCTAACGTCATATTATAAATATTTACCACTTAACCACATAAAAACTGAACTCTAATTAAGTAATACAACATGAATGTGGCCAAGCAATGCATAGCATATGTTGCTGCCAGCATCTCCAATTTGGAGCGTCCGGAGTACCCCTATCCCAAAGAAAAAGAAAGCACCAAAAGAGTAATCAATTACAAATAGCATCCAAGTAAGATACGTCAGATTATAGAATTATGGAAGAAAAATCAAATGTAATTAATCCAATCCACTCAAAATCATCAACATCAACTCAATCATGACAATCAATATACAAAGAGGTGTCCAGAGACATTGACGTCCCACGTACTATTATATCTGAAGTCCATGACTAAATAATTTTGTCAACATGGGTCACTCCACATGCAATGTTCAACTATCAACTTCCGAACAGTCACTGCAATCAATCAAAATCAGTCTCAATATATTTAGGAATTTCGAATGAAAGATAGGAAAAAAGGATGTTATTTTTTCATGTTAGAAACTATAAATATCAACAACCATCAATTTCTATAATGAATGTCTATAATTTGGATAGTTGTTTTTTATCAACAAAAAAAATGTATAATTAAATTTAGAAACAATGAGAATTAGGGAAAAGTAAATAGCTTCAAAAGTCCAACTCTAAATTACTGAGAAAAACCTTGAATTGCTGCTAATCTAGTAAAAAGTGATATAACCTGACCTTAAATTAACTAGAAGTTGAAAAAAATCCAAGAATCACCCAATTGTTTCATCATAAAATAGTCATAGATTCAGAAAAACAACTATCCAAATTATCATCACGAAAACAAAAAACAATTTTCCAAGTTATTATTCAATGTCATTGTAGTCAAAAGGTGACTCGTACTATAGAAACCTAAGTTCTCCATATTAAATGATACGGCAAACCAACATATACACCCACATTGACAAAACAATATCATCATTCGTTTTCTATAGCTAAAAGCTTTGATATTGCTTTTTCCCAGCAAAAGGTCCAAACAGAAGGTAACTATCACCTGGGCACATGTTGCAATCAGTTTGGCATTAAATAAGAAATTAGATCCTTGCCATGTGCACCAACAAGCGAAACACCGAAGGCCAGAAATAGGGACTACCTCACATGTCAAATGTCTAATAAAGGAACCTAATCACCAAAAAACTAGTAATCAAGGGTACTTTTTCTATCAATTACTTCACATACAAAATTTTCCAACAGGTAATCAGCACATCAACTAAATCTATACTGAGAGAAAGAAAAAGGATGTTGGAGTGGTGTGTGGTATATATGATATAAGTTTGTTACTCGGCTTCAATTCATAGAGTTTTGGTAATGACTTGTTATATCTTAAATGTTAACATTTTTCATTGCTTCTTCCACAAAGGAGACAAACTGCAAAAAAATCCCAAAAATTAGAAAAGCTATATAAAACCATGTTAATTAAGTAATTTATTACCACAAAAAGATAATATAAAATTATAAAATATTCCCTCATTTTTTAAGGCACGTTGTTCTCGTGGAGATACAGTAATCTTAAAAAAAAAGCTGCAGCACAAAAAATAGAAAAAAGATAAAATAAACAAAAATACATAAAGAGAGAACACATACAGACCCTTTATGAAAATTTAACACAACCTTGTACAAGAAATTAAAACTCTTAAGATGAATTATCTTGCAAACTGCAATAACGCCTAATGCATTTATTGTGTCTGATGATGATGTGGGTAATATTTTCCTAGCCAAATCATAAGGAAACTAGTGAAGTAGGTTTCAGTCTGTCATAGAATATATAGATAGCATGCAACACTAATATCATGAGCTAATCTCAGAAATTAAAATGATTAATCTACATTAAGCAATAAAAATATTCGGTGAAGAGGCATTATCATTTAGGATGGAAACAGAAATGGTTCATGGAAATGAAACTTTGACTCATTAGAATTAAAGGAACACTTATCAAAAGGTAACTTATTGGAACACTTATCAAAAGCTAACTTACTCAAATGATGGTTCAACCTCAACTCCAAGAGTTAAGTGCAAGGAAAACCCAACAGATCCATCTTGCTTATCATAATGTGTACATGCTTCGTTAGGAAAACCCCTGGGGATGTATAAGACATCACCTTCATTAAGCAACAAGTGATAACAGTCTCTTGCATCATCAATGGGTTCATTGTTTAGAATGTTACAAG